TTGATGACCGCTCGTATCGCTCCTTGCTCCTTCTGGATGACTTTGTTGACCGATGCACTCCCTCTCCTAGAACATAAAGAGGCAAGTGTAGTATTTCTGTAGATTAGGTTATGTTTATTTCCGTGGGAGTTGGGTGTTGAAATACAATATACCACATGGATTGATTGATACCAGCCGGGCAGTGGTATTAATCCAAGCTAAGAAAGACAATACTGAGCCAGAAATTGTGTGATCCTAAGAGCTTCAGTGCTATATGGTTACCAGAATTCAAGTAATGATTGCAAGTCTTAGTAATCACAAGAGCTTTGGTCTAAAGAGAGAGAGAGAGTATATTATACTCTGATTGTTTATTCCTTCAAAAAGAAGGGCTTGTAAGTAGAAGAGTTTATTTAGCCTTGCTACAGATAGGCTCCGTTAAGTTTGATGCCTGCTCTAAAATGCAGTTCATGATTTGATTCAAGTTTAATTTGTATGTGCCAGTTTCTCGGTTAAGTGTTTTCCAGCAACATTGGTTAATAGAATCTTTTTCAAAGTAGATGAATAAGGTAAGTAGTGGCCTTCATCTGGTCCTGTCTTGTAATATATACAATTGCCACAGAAGTAAACAATCCTTGAGTTCATACATACATTGAATTTTTATTAAAACCAAACCTAGACCAAAAAAGATAAAAAGATTGCTCCGTTTGAGGACTCTCGTCTAGCTATTAATGGGATAACCATTCGTGCTTAGGGTTCAAACCTGCCAGAGCATCACAATTTAAAATCCCACTTCCAATAATAAGTGGGATGGAGAGAGAAATTGCCATTAAATGAAGTTTACAATCAATTTTCTGCAGGTCATATTTTCTGCTGATCAGACATATGAATTGATGAAATGCTTAGAAGATGTGATGGCAGCAGAGCCAAAAAAAGAGAAGCTCCAGGTAATCTTGTCCAAGGACACCGATTTAAGGGCCTGGCATATTATAATTTCAGGATGTGAGGATAGAGGATGATCTAGCCCCACTGTATTTTGGAAAGGTTATTGTTTTTGTTGAGATCAGTGCCCTGGGGAGAACATTAACCCATGTGTCCCAGGATGATGTTGCAGGATCCAATCTGGGTCGGTCACCGGGACCATGAGGTTTTGTCTTCCGAGCTTTTGGACTCATGCTGGAACCTCCACCCTCTCAGGGAAGCTCTCTGTGTGCTCTGGGTTGTTCTGTGTGTGATGTTTATGTGGTACACATCCATCAACAGGAGTGCTGATTTACCCCCCCTCCCCCGTTTATCAAGTACTTAGAAGGTGGGGGGGGGGAGCTTGACAGCACAAGAAAACTACAGCCAATGACTTAATAGCCAGCCATAAAAACCCCAATCTATATCTAAAAAGCTACACACAACAGCCACCACATAAATACTGCCAAGGTAATTATAATTTAGCAGCTGACTGGCAGCGATGATATACAGAGAATAAGTCAGCCAAGTATTTTGGGGTTAGTATCCCTTTAAGAGACTGTCTGAGGGGAATGACAGTTGGAATCTTTAACTCACTTGAACCATTTGTATATAACTGACTGCCTTGTATTCTGTATGCTTCCTGAATGTTGTTGTTTCATGTTGTATATTAAACCACAGTTCCTTTGATAAACCACTGTCAGATGTTTGTGATCCTGTGTTGTCACAAGAAGAAAACAAGTAAAAGGATGCAATAATGTATATTTTTAAACAACAAATACCACACAGAACAGCCCAGAGCACACAGGGAGGTTCCCCGAGGATTGGGGCTCCGTCAGGAGTCCGGAAGCTCGGAAGACAAAAGCCCTGGTCCCTGGTGGCTGGCCCAGATTGGATCCTGCAACATTAACTCAATTATATGTTATATTCTCTTTGTAATATTTTCCTTATATATGTTTGTGTATACTTGGTAAGGACACACTTAAGTTAATTGAAACTTCTTTGATCTTGTCAAATTGACTAAATTGCTTTGTTACAAATGTGCTTTTTAGTGAAAGCTGAAACTGGAAAAGGTGTTATGTTCTGTGTTTAAAGAACAGATTACCCACAGGAATTAGTGGCGTGTCGGTCAGAAAATTGGTCTTTTGAATCAAGGGGACAATCCTATGCATTTCAGAGTTGTATTGCTTCTAATGCCTGCTTTTCCTTCCCTCTGTGGTCGTTTTTCATCCACTGACTCTGAAACCTGTGGAAAGGAGCTTAGGATAAAATATTGTTTCTAATGGTATGAAAGTGTTACCAACAGCCCCTCCCAGCACTGCTTGTCCACATCTCAGGATGCTAGTGAGAAGGGGTGTGTGCTTTTCATTGTTCTGACCAAGGAATAAAAATAGCTGCAAATGCTCTTGAGAATGGCAGAAAATTTTCTGATGTCTACTAGATGTGTAGAATATTCCACGGTTGAGTGGACTGACAAGGACCATTTAGATAAGGTTAATGCATTTCTGGAAGTGGCTTGTGATATTTTGGATATGTTCTGAATGAATAACTTTTGGGTTCTTCCTCCGAGACTGAGCAAGCAGCTTCATTCTAAATTAATACTTTTTAATTCCATCCTGGATATGTATTATATTATCGTAAATTAATACTTAAGAGGGAACTGTTTGCTCAGTTCTGGAGGAAGAACTCTGAAAAATTCAGTCTTTGGGCCATCCACTGGTTTACATACTAAATATGAGAAGTAATGTGATGGTTACTGCGTAGGTATGCTCTGAATTATAGAATATTCTTATATTTCTAAAACTGATTTCAGGTTATGTTATTCAATTCCTGCCCTTTTTTTTGCTTGTTTCTAGGATGATGATGCAGAGATAATGAAGGTGGAAATGCTAAGACTTGCTCTGGCACGAAACTTAGCAAGAGCTATCATTAAAGAGGGCACACTGGAAGAATCATGAGAGCAGCAAATTAAAATAGTTCTTAAACTTTACTTTGTTAACTTAGTGTACATACCAGGTTTGTTATTATTTTGATAAAAATAAATTTCATATTTTGCATTTCTTTTATAATTCTTTTTCTAGTAAATTTCAAGAAAGAAACTCAGTTTTTGCAAACTTGAGATTTTTACAATTTTATAAGATGGAAAATCCATCTTGTCATTAAAATAACCCCAAATTGTTTTATTCATGCAAGCTGAAAGAAAACATTTCATTTGCTTGTTTTAAACCCGGGGGCAATCTGATCTCCTTGCAATAAATCTTGAATTCTCCTTACTCAAGAGTTTAAAAAGAAATCAAAAGATACTTGTTGACTAGTTGACATTTAGCCGTAGAGCTTTCTGTTTACATCACAGCTACTGCAAAGAAACATGTAGGACAGACTGTTAGTTCCAATAATTTTCAGACAAAAATACATTTTAGTATGAAGCGGCTGCAAGGTAGCTAAAGCAGAGTAGAGAAAGTATTTTTATTGAGCGTGCAGACTAACAAATGCTTCTGAGATATATTTACAGTCTTGAGTGTTTGACAGAAAGCTGCAACTTCAGCCTGTGAACAGGTAACATTCATAAATAATTTCTAAAGCTTGTAGCACATTTCCACACAGTGAGACTATGAGATCTTTCTGTTGGATTATACAGCACGGACAGAGTGGCTGATAGCGTGAAAGCAATTTGGCAGAAAGCCCTTGTGCTTTTTTTGTGTGGTTTCCTCAATCGGAGTGATTTGCAGATCATCCCTTAACAGTGAAATCTGCTCTGTACAAATAAGTATGGCACTGGGGCAGACTTAGAAGCTTAAGTAAAATGCTGATAAGAGGGAGACTATAATATTAGAGAGGACGAGATCAAGAGATCAAAAAAATACTGCTGGGTTCCCATCAGCTTTACATAATTAATGCAGCCCTGATATCACTAGTTTGACTAATCAGAGTTGAAATTGGATCCCTTCAAAAGCCAATGAGGTTCTTTCTGTTGTGACTGTTTACTGTATCTTGTCTACAGAAGATACAAATGCAAAGAAATCACAGCCACTGTAACGGAGGTCTGATCGTCCCACAGTCTCTTTTAATACCAAAAAGTTGCAAAATGTTAAACTCCCACGCAAAACAGTCCTCAGTTATATAGTGTAGCATGGAGTAGATTTTCAAGGCCTTCTGTTCACTAGGGAACAAAATGATTTGTTCCAGATGAGCACACAGTTAAACCAAAACTGTGTTAACACATGGGAAAGTAATTACTCAAAAGCAGTGATCCTTTATGGCTTTTGAACCGTAATGTGTCTGTCACTGTTTAAAAAAGCCTGCCTGTCTCAACATAAAAAGATCTCTCTTCCTATGGACAATTGCACTTACCCACCTATTATCTAAAAAGAATAAAACTGGAGTGTATCATCCCTGCAACATGCATAGCCATGGCTCCTCTTTTCCCTGGTCTGCAGATCTGGTACATTCCTATAGCTTAATATACATATATTTTTAACTAAGTATGCCTTAGTTAGTGCCTTCAGGAGAAGCCTCAGATCCTTCGCTGCATCACTTCCTCCTTTGAGCCCACAATGAACAACTGCACCTGAATGGATGCTCCTTCTCAATATTATTTGTATTTCCCTCACTCCATGCTTCCCACTTGAGTCGTGTATACACTGTATGTGGATCTTTATTGTATTGAGACAATTATGTAACGCAGAGGACGTAGAGCTGTGCATACAAAACTCAGCAGCTACTGGGAAAGCATACGAGCAAGTCGGCTGCAAGTATAAAATTAGAAGGCAGCAACTTGAAAGCTGTGTGTTGATGTTCTCAAGTGGCAAGTGTAAAATATCTGAATGGGCTCTGCTGGCTCTTGGAACAGATATTCTGTAAATGGAGTGCTTGATCATGGCAAAAAAACCTCCATTTCTTGAAGGGTATCTTATTGCTCAGCAAGCCTATGGGTTATCCTAATTCTGATCCCAAAGAGGTAAAAAGAATCAGGTGCAGGAAGGTCATTAGGACTCTACCCCAAAAGAACTTACAAAGGCATCATAGCCCTTGGTAGACCTCTAGCCTAACTGAAAGAGTGTTCCGGTGTATTTAATTTTTGCTTATCAAACTCTCCAGAACATTTATATTTCAAGTTTTAATGAAGTGGAAGATAGAATTGGATTGGCCAAGGTAAAGAAACCAGCCAGGTCTCTGTTCCTGACTGTTCACGTAAGTTTACACTTGGCATTTAACGCGTTCAGACTATTGTCCCAGAGTGCAGAAAATATTCTGGACTACGGCTACAAGTGGAGTGGACGGGACATGTAAACAAAGCTAAATATCACTAACTGATACCGCCGCTGCCTTTGTCATATTGCATTCATTCCAGTCCCCGTGAAATAGCTCTGGGTCATAGCTTTCCCCAATTATCAACTGGAGGAAACTGATCTACTTCCCCCACTTCAGTGCTGGGCGTGTCTCCCAATGTGAAAGTCAGTCGATACCTCAGCCTCACTTTCTCCTGCAACGAAAAAGGAAAACCAAATGTAGTAGCCAGTCACAATACAGAGTAAAAGAGCAGGTGCACTTAAATGAGAGTACCCTAGTACAGGGGTCACCAACCTATGGTCTGCAGCCCACTACCGGGCCATGGGCTGTTCGCCACTGGGCCGCGTGAGTGGCTGGCATGTGTGCACTCGCAACCCCCTACTCGCGCTAGTGTTGCAGTGTCACACAGGTACTATCATTGCTGCAAACGCAACATCCCCACTGCGCTAGCATCGCGACATTGCGTGGGCACTAGCATCACCGTTTGCATCACATGTGCAATCACAGTCATGTTCATGCATGTGCGGCCCTGTTCATGTGTGCTTGCATGCGTAAAGGCACCTCCACCACCCCCAGAGCCGCCAACTCTGAAAGGTTGGGCCCCCCCTGCCCTAGTACCCTGGGATTTTTTTTTCTTCCACTCAATTGTGTTTGATTCTCGGACAAAAGGACTGGTTTTTGGTGGGATAATGTCCTTACTTTTAAATCCCCCCCAGAAAGATCCATAGTTGTACGGATGAAAATTCTACCATTTGGACAGCAAAAACAGGTAAAATGATTTTGGCCTCTTTGGAGGAAATGTAAAGGCTAGAGGCCTTGTTTATAGTCCCACCCTTAAAAAAAATGAAAAAACCAACCCCCCCTCTTTCAGCCTAACATAGTTATTGTGACATTAGCAGTTCCAGGGATGCTACAGAAAATGGGAGAGGTTAACACCCCCCCCTAATTTCAGATTTGCTCAAAGTTGTCTTAGTGAAGCATAGGGGAAAGAAAAAAAGCCCTAGCAGAATTTAATAATACTTCATGCTCTATTTTTTATTTTTATCCCAACCTTGAAAAGTATCGAAGTATTTTTGCTACACATAACATCAGTCCAAGAAAACAGCGATGAGACATACAAAAAAAATAATGACCCAGTATAAGGAAAATGACTATATCTTTAAGAAGAGGAGGAGGAGGAGGGTCTAGAACACAAGACTTCCCACCTTTCTAGGATTTGCAAGCAGCATAACCTGGGTAATAGCAGCGGGTGGCTTGATGGGACTGAACGGCACTAACTCTGTCCCTGAAGGTGGCTGCAGCTTTACTTTCATGGACTGTAAGGGGAAAAAAATCAGAAACAAAAGTTAAGGCAATGCCTGCTTCGGTAGAAATGTTGCTAGATAGCACATTTGATTATAAGCATATTTAGAAAAATGGGAATATTTTCCAAGAGAAGATCAAAGCGCTCACATAGCTGTCTAGTGTAACTGCCTTCATAAAATTAATTTAGAATCGGCTGAGGAAATCCCCAGAGATTCAGTGGAATTCAACATTATCCAAAGACATTTCAAGGCAGTAACCGGGAACAAGAATCCTGCAAACAGTAACACAAAGACTCCTGCTTCTCCTTAGGAGTAGCCATCTTCGATTTAGCCCTGTGGCCCATAGGGATTCCTTGATGAAAAGTCCTAAGCTTCTGCCTACACCAATACAAGAATCCTACATTCTTCTCTGGTTGGTTCTTGGCCATTGTTTATTTTATTTATTTATTTATTCGATTTATATCCCGCCCTTCTTCCCGGACTCAGGGCGGCTAACAGCCTTATAAAACAGATACTACAATAAATACCTAATTTAAAACCAAATTAAAAAGAAATATTAGCTATGGCCTATATAATTAAAATTTCTCTTAAAAACCCACTAAAAATTCCCTAGGCCAATCCCGCTTGTTGGAAGAGCCATGTCTTTAGGGCGCGGCGGAAGGAGGGGAGATCCGGGATCACCCGGATCTCTGGGGGTAGTTCGTTCCAGAGGGTGGGGGCTCCCACCGAGAAGGCCCTCCCCCTGGAGGTCGCCAGCCGGCACTGTCTGGCTGACGGCATCCTGAGGAGACCCACTCTGTGGGAGCGTATCCTCTCTATCCCTTACCTTTGGCACCGCAGCTTGTAACACAATATTCTTGATGGGAAGAGGTGCTGTATTCAACATCGATACCACCACCACCAACACGTCAGGACGCCCAGGAGGGCACTCCTTTGCAAAGTGCAGCAGAATACGCAGACCGTTCTTGTCGTAAGCAGTCATGGGAAGAACGCTGCCTGCAAGGCGAAGGAAGTATTTATTTTCAGGGTAGAAGAGCAACATGCCATCAACAGAATAAGCACTATGGGCTTTGACATGGCGACGGTGTCATAACAGAAATTGCAATCTAGCTTTCAAACTTGCAATCCGTAGCCCGTTCTAATGTTGTTGGGGGCAATAGGCTGACTCTATAAACCACTCATGAGAGTGCTGTAAAGCACTATGAAGCAGTATATAAGTCTAAGTGCTATTCCTATTTTATCCGAGAGTCCAACACAGCAGCAGCCATCAGCCTGAATGCTAGGGGCCTAAACCAAGAATAGGCATCAACAGCTCAAAATATGACTTTAGAGGCATGCAGTTCAGTGTTGTGGGTGGGGTGGGACATGTCATGTAGCTGCACATGATTTGAACCTGAGTCCCTAGTGCCACTATCTTTAAACCCTGAAAATAAGGTCTACTTATAGGATGACACAAGTGATGGAGAGGTAGCATAGTCTGCCTAACAGAGAAAGCATTAAGCCTTTTGTATAAAGGCAAGCGATAATTCTTCAGTTGAGTGTTAAGATTCAAGGACTCAGAATGTCATGCTAAAGAGTCCTTAGTGTCACTACAGGAGAAAAGAGGCTGCCACAAAAGCAAATTCAGCAGCTAATTTGTCACTGGCCAGTTACTCTTCCCATGTCTCCACCCCACCATCCTCAATAAACAACAGCTGTCACTGATTACAAATTTAAGGATAACAGTTGCAAAAAAGTTAGCTGGACAACACTTCTTTTTCTAAATTTCCCTAAATATTTCTCTAAATGGATAGAACTACCTCAAAAATAGCATCACTTTACTATGCATTTCTTTTGCTTCCATTTGTTCCAACAAAATATTTTTTAAAAAACCCTGTAAAATGGACATTTAGTATCAAACTGCAATAAGGAGGCATGAGAGTACGTACAGGATTATTTACAGCATGTGCTCCCATGATAAGAGGCTTATGTTTTTGGAAACTAAAAGGATACATCAGGTTAAAAAAAAAATCCACGCATTCCCTACATGGAATGAAGGATACATTTACCCAGACAGAAAGGGTGTGTGTGAACAACTATGTTATTTTTTTCTGAGAATAAAAATATGCATCCTTTACTTCACCATTAAACAGATACTGGCCAGCAATGACCCATACTAGGCTTAATTGATTCCAATGGAACATGGACATTGGCCAAGGAGATCTCAGGTCCTTTCAAGGGACTTCCTTGTTGCTGGAACAGGGCTGATTGGAAGATGGGACTTCCTGGATATGGAACAGGAGGGCCTCCTGGACCAGCAAGTGACAATCCTGTAGCAGATGTCAGAGGTGCAGAAGTAGCAGCAGGGATTGTAGAGGCCGTTACAGCTACTGGAGCTGAAGACCTGAAAGAGAGTACAGAAGAATTCCAGATAACCAAATTAACCCACAGGCTAACAGTTAACACTGATTTATTTCAAGTATAAGGCCACCAAACTGGACTCAAGGCAGCTTGAGTCTAAATTTAAAACAGAACATCTATTGTCACCCTGGGTCCATATATTGTTTAATGGGGGACAAATCATTGGAAATGCTTATGGTTACTACCAATTCCTGTAACAGAAAATGGCCCTTTGAAGATAAAATGCTGTTCATGATTGCTGTGTTATATGTCCATCAGTGGTGCTCAGTGAAATACATTCTTAGTTGGTGGAGAAGATGGACAATTGACACCCACAATCTTTCTAGTAGCACAGGTGATGAACCACAGCAACAGGAAGAGTAAAAAAATCACAGCACTAGAATAAAGGCAGACATCTATATTGTATGTTGGATTCCACTTATAGAATCAAGATTTTGTCTTGTTCTGAAATTTGGTTTCAATATTAATTTACCTGGGCTGGTTTGATATGTTGTTAAATAATTACCGTTTTACCCAAGTACGTGCTGTGAAATAGCAAAAGGGTTGATTTTTGTCTAGACATGTTGTGTGCTCATTCCATGATTTGTTTGCCAGGTTCTATGCCTCTATTTCTGCAGTATAATCACTACTGCATAGTATGTTTTTTTGAGTTTGCATAATTCGGTGGGTCTCTAGGTAACATCTATTTGTAGACAAACACCCAAAGTATTAATGTCCATCACGAACGAATGACTACCATAAACCCTGGTCCTTGAGGTTACGATTTGCTTCGCCAGTATTCCATGTTATAGTACCCTGATGTGACTGTATGTTGTCAAGACTGTTAGGGTCAACGACGTACTAGAGCCGTGGGACGTGCTGCAGTCACCATTTGCAACTTCCTGCTAGCTTCCCCAATGACTTTCTTTGTCAGAAGTTGGCAGTAAAGGTCGCAGATAGTGATCACATGACCATTATAATGTTGTAACTGGAAGCCAGTTTCTAAAAGTTTCAACCATACTCGCATGATCAGCTGCAACTATGAAGACCTATTATGAGTCCCTCTCATTCAGCACCCTTGTAACTTCAAACAATCACTGATTTGAGTGGATGTTAAGCAAGTAACACAGGCAGTCCTCAACTTATGCAGTTTGGGAGCTTGGCAATCAGCTCACATTTATAACCAGTCACAACCTGGTGTGGTCACATGTTCACAATTTGCAACCTTGTCAGCTGACTTCCAACCAAAAAAAAAAATCACTTAACCATTATGTGATCTGCTTAACGACCATGGTAAAAATGGTTGCAAAATTGAATCCAGGCATGTGATAACTCACTTTTGACTGCACCAATTCAACAATGAAAATTCTGGTTCCAACAGTGGTTATAAAGACTATCCGCACCTGTAATTATGGGCCAAGCCCCAAGGCTTATTTTAAGGACCCACTTAGTAAAATAGTCCCAAATGCTGAAAACGACATTATTTAAAGGAAATGCCCTCATTCCCCCATTTTTAATTTAAAAGAGACGAAGAGCCATTATCAAGCAGAGAGAACAGACCAAAATATTCCTTACCCTTTGTTTTCCTCTAGAAGATGATTTAATGGATCTATCTTGTGCAATCCACTTGTTCCCACGGCTGAGCCAAAGTAGCCTGAAGCTACAGGCATTGTACTTAAAGGGCCAAGTGGAGGTCCAGTAGAGAAGATGAAAGAGGTTGAGGTAGGAGCAGAGACACTGGAAACAGGCTGAGGGGCTGTGAAGGTAGAAGGAAGAGGTACTGATGCTCCACATCCTGGCTGTGACACAGATGAAAGAAGCGGGTTCACTGCTGAGTTGCAAGGAACAGAAACTGGCTTTGGATTCAAGAAGTCCAGATCTACTGGCTCATTCTGCAATACAGGAAAGAGATGTACCACTGCAATGTTTTACCTCTCTTCTGTTATCACACTCTAGAATGGCCTTCGTCAGGCAGGGCATATTCCTCTATAAAGGATGAGATGAAGGGGTCAAGGGCACTAACAGGTTTTAAAAAGGCACTTCTTCATTTCAAATGGCTTGGCTCATTACGGAAATCAGTATAGAAAACAGATCTGGTCTGTGTATCCTACAGAAAATAGGATGCTCTTTACTACTGCATCCCTAACAATGGAATAAGCCAGACAAATAAAGAGCAATTCAATTCAGGACAGATTTATTCTTCATACCTTCCTAAAAGTATAAGTATAAACAGAGAAAATTATGCACCATTTCGGATTTAATTCCAAAATGTGCCTCTGGGCACCAGAAGGAACAAAGATGCCATCCATCTGCAACTCTTTATAGTCACACCACCTCGGGAAAAGGTGTGGTTGCTTTAAAGAACCGCAGATAGTTGTTATATTTTATTTATTATGAAATTTATTTGCCGCCCATCCCGTATCCAACAACTCTATATTTACCTGCCTGCCCACTTCAGTGTGTCTCTTTGGAACCAAATCTAAGCGGCTGCACAGCCCTAAAATCTACTACAGTTACAGAAAACCAAATACCTGGAGCAGGTTCCATTGATTGTTTTCGTTTGATTCTTTTACTACACTTGGAGCAGGGTCATTGAGTCCTGAGTGGAGGAAAAAAAGTATTAGGAATTGGAAGCAATAAATGCAAATCGCATTTTAGTAGGGAAAAACTCCTAAGTAAGCCGACGAGGTTTGCGTGAGAAGCAGCATGCAATAGTTTGCATTAAGGTCGTGGAAACCCAACTATAAATCCAAGTTTAGCTACATTTTATCCTGTGGGGGGCCTTGAACAAGCCCCCTCTCTCTAAGGCTGTATCCAAGAGTACTGTGTTGTGAGACAGAGGTGGGGGTGGGGTGGGGGGGTTAATTGCATTATCACCCTCTCCCTGACAGATGTCATTCTTACATTTGGCTCAGCAACTCTTTGGAAACCTGTTAAAAAATAGACATTGGGCCAATTCATACAGCCATTTCTTAATATTTTTTTTACTGCTCTTTAACTGCACAACTATTATTGCTTAGACCAGTGGTTCTCAACCTTTTTAATGCCGCGACCCCCAACCGGTCGTAAGTCGAGGACTAAACCGGTCGTAAGTCGAGGACTAAACCGGTCGTAAGTCGAGGACTACCCAACCGGTCGTAAGTCGAGGACTTTCCCTGCCTGGGAGCGCCGCGCATGCGTGGTTCCGCCCCCTGCGCCGGTCGAGGCATAGCTGGCAAGCGGCAGAGATGGAGCAGGCCGACCACCAGCTGGCCCAGCTCAAGGGAGGTAAGGCACCCGCCGGAAAAGGGGAAAAAAATGGCGGACAGCCTTGCTTGGCGACCCCTGTGAAATGGTCGATCGATCCCAAATGGGGTCGCGACCCATAGGTTGAGAACCGCTGGTTTAGACTGCATTTGTTACTCAACAACCAGGAGCAGAAGCAAGCAGGGCAATTTACAGTGAGAGTAAGAGTAACTTTATTGTTCCCAGCTCATTTAAACAAATAAATATTATCACATGCTTTCTCAAAAGATCCCAGGGGAATCCCAAAGGTGCTTTTTCAAGAGGCAACTGGACTTTCTTGTTTTTCTTTGAATGTTTCACTTCTCATCCAAGAAGCTTCTTCGGCTCTGACTAGATGGCGGGGAATGGAAGGATTTATATTCCTTGCAGACAGCTGGTCATTTGCATTCTTTTAGAGAGAGTCCTTGAAGCAGACAACACAGACTCATCCCAAACAGCCTGCGCCTGTCTTCAACAGTGAAGGGGCACAGGACAGAAAACATCCTGCAGCAAAGAAAGCTCTGCACACATTTGCACTACTCAAGTGACCCTGAGGACACAGGTAAACTTCCAAATGGCTTCAACAACTCTCTAAAAGAATGCAAATGACCAGTCAGAGCTGAAGCAGCTTCTTAAAAGAAGCGAAACATCTTTAAAAAAAAACAAAAAAAACAAAGAAAGTCCAGTTGCCTCCTGAAGCAGCACCTTTGGGACAACCATGACCTGGATGACTGAGAATCTCCATAGACATCCCAGCAGAATCTACTCATGCGGATAGATCTGGCAAGGGAGGTATATTCCAGATCCTGTCTGTGAGAGAGCATCATCTGAACCCAGCAGGAAAGCCTTTTCTGCTTTGTGCCTGTCCTCAGGAACATCATTCCTCCCCCCCCCCCAAGAAATTAGACCTCCCTCAATCCTAACTTAACCCAGCTTTGCTTTCAAGCCCAGAGGTTGGATAAAATGAGTGAGCTTTATTTCATGGCTAGTCTGAGTGTCTGTGAGTGTTCTTGACTGCTATTTTTATGATATCTTTGTTGTTTTTCATTCTGGCTGTTTTAATTGTTTTCTATTGTTTTAATTAGAAGCCGCCCAGAGTGGTGTATATGAGATGGGTACCCTATACGTCAGTGGTGGCGAACCTATGGCACGGGTGCCAGAGGCGGCACTCAGAGCCCTCTCTGTGGCCACGCGCTCCGTCACCCCAGTCCTAGGCCTTCAGCTGGGTTTTATAAAACCTTTTCACTTTAGGCCTCCGCTGCCATGTGCAAAAAAAAAAGGTTCAATCAATCAATCAATCAATTTCAACTTCTCGCGGGAAAAAAAAAGATCTTGCAAAGTTGGAATTGATTGATTGAACTTTTTAGTCCCACTCAGTCTGCCATTACCACCGCAGCCACCTCCACCCAATGGGCCATGCCCACCCCAATGGGCCACACCCAGCCAATCGGCCACACCCACCCGGCACCCGACGATGCATAAGTGGGTTTTGGGTTGCAGTTTGGGCACTTGGTCTCTAAAAGGTTCGCCATCACTGCTATACATTAAATAAATACACACATACTGTACATAACACTATCCATGGACGCTACACAATTAGATACAGCAGTGGGGAAAAGAGGAATCGTAATATTTGCATTTAGCTTATGACAGTCCATCTCTCTCAGTCTTTCTTATCTCAGCAGGGTGACAGTATTCAAAACAGATTACTATGTTGCTTGTGCTGTCTTCCTTAGCCTTCAGAGATAATCTACTCCAGAAAATAGGTAATGGATTATAATGAAGTCCTTCCATTTTCTAGATTGTGGAAAAAGCATCCATAGCAATGGCTCCCTAGCACTCTCTTCCACGTTAAACACCATTAAACCACATCCAACTTACCTAGACACAGGAGCTCCTCATCAAGCAAAGAGAGGGAATTGGCTGCACCACTTGACTGAATAGGGGTGGATTCAGCATGGCCAATTGAATGAGTCCGGGAGTGACCAATCGCCTGAGGCGGGGGTGGGAGGATGGGGATTTCTGATAGGGCCGGAGCTGGAGTTAGGGTTGGTGTTGTGTTCAAGGCTGAAGGAAGGAGTTGTGGTGGTGGTGGTGGTGCTTGTGACGGCACATTCGAAACCTCCAGTCCCTCCAAGTCAATGAGGGTATTAACGTTATTGGCAGAATTGCTTCCTGCAGGGAAAGGAGAGAATCGAAAAAGATGCCAAAGGATGCAACGCAACACTGGGTAGTTATTTTTAAGCAACAAGAGTATTGCTTTAATAAGTGGATGTTGTCAACGAAATCAAGAGTCAACTCGCAAGGCAGATTTCCAGCCGTGTCCATTTCTTCAATAGACAAGAGCTTCCTTGTTCCCTAATTCCAAAAAGAAACTCAAACTTCCTTGCCAAGAGTACATTAAGTTGCATTATCTTCTGCCATGTTTTGGTCTGATCTGGGAATGAGCTCTTTCTCTGCTACCTCCCATCTATTCTTTGTCGTTCAGCAATACTGAGAAATGTGCCTTATGATTATCAATATGGCTAGGGATATTCAAGTTCGGAACAGCCAGCAGAATATGACAAATATAACAAAACATCTTAGGGTACCTTGTAGGTTAATGGATTATTATGGTTGAAGCTTCCATAGGTCAAAATAATGGCAAGAGAAAAACAGATCAAAATCCAATGGTAATAATTTTCACATACTTTTTATGTACAACAGCATAGTCATAGCTCAGAGATTACATAGTTTTGTATCTGGTTCCCCTTACCCATTACTATTTTGCAGGGACCTTTGGGTTCCAAAAAAACCCCAAAAGAAATTCCAAAGCTTGCAATCTGCCTATTTCACAACTTTATCAATACAACAGTGTTTATTCTAAATCTGCAGGAAGTTGTAGAGAGACTGTCGGTAAGCAATAAGCTTAGCAGAGAAAAAAAACCCAGGGAACCGCAAGCTGACAATCCTGAGTGTCAAATTATCTAAAATAATTATAATGATTATTCATCAATTAGCCTTAATAGTAACCTATTATGGGAATAATCTATTACTGTAATTGAGGTCATTACTGATAGAAGTAATTTACTTCCTAAGCTTGTAGTTCAGGGTGTTTAAGGCTGGAATGTCCCTTTGAAGTTCTCACGTTTAAGACCAGCCATTACATGGGAAGTAATAATGTTTAAGGAGCCAGAAATGTTCTCTTGCCAGTATTTCAGTATTATTGATTCTGATGTGTATTTATACTAAGGATATTAAAAGAAAACCTCCTTCCAAATGCCATACTATTTTAAAATTACATGAAAGAAGCAGAATCATTAAAGAAACAAACTAAGTATCTTCGGAGAAATACAATTCACCTTCTGTTGTAGGCAGCGCTGAAAGATCTACTTCACCATTGATGACTTGACCTTCAATAATTTTTTTGTAGGAATTTATTACTCGCGATAAGTTGTCACTAGCCTGAAGAATATCTCCTGTTAAGGGAAAAAGCGTAGATATAGCGTAGATATAGCCTACTGAGTTTTCAAGAATGCTTCCTCTGTCTAGAAACATTTATCAACCTATCTTTGGGATAAGTGTCAGAGCAACAGCAATAGCATTTAGACTTATATACCGCTTCACAGTGCTCTACAGCCCTAAGAGATTCACAGAGTCAGCATATTGACCCCCAACAATCTGGGTCCTCATTTTACCGACCTTGGAAAGATGGAAGGCTGAGTCAACCTTGAGCTGGTGAGAATCGAACTGCCAAACTGCAGTCAAGTCAGCAGAAGTAGCCTGCAGTACTGCATTCTAACCACTGTGCCACCACCGCTCATAGAGTTCCTGGTGCCATAATTCTTCCCATAATACTGCATGAATGTATATTATTATATTACATTACTGCTATGACTGTTGTTTCTTTACTTGCCTGAAGTGGTTCATGTATCCATAAACAAATAAATAATCAGCTCATCTGATTCATGCCATTCTAACAGTATACTCTGCTGCCTAGCTTCATAGTTTAGGCTTTGAATATTCAGAAATGTGTTATGAAGAACCAGTGTATTAAAAACCATACTGCCAACTGAGTTTCATTTAAATATTATTTTTCTGTTTAATTCTTGTGGTTTAGGCACTTAAGGCAGCAGCTTTCTGAAACTAAGTATGATTGAATATAACTAGTGCCTGTAGCATTAGTTCCATCTTCTTATATTCATCTACGGTGTATAAAAAAACTACCATTTTAATCAAGCAATATGCAAACTCATAATTTAAGCATGACATTTAAACTATTTTAGAATAAACTTCACTTTTTTAAAAAAAAATGGGGAAGTCATATATACACATACGCACCTACCATTTGCTTTTTTATATGTGTGTACATTTTATATAGTTAGCTGATGCTGAAATAAATTTTCTATCCACAAAATGAAATTTATATCAGTGATTTTTTTTTGTCCTAATCATTTGGCATACTATCATTTTGTTCAATTCTTCCAACATATATTGCTCCCTCTTTTCGTTTCCCCCTCACCAAGTGGAAAATGAGGTTGATAGAAGGCAGTCTAAATTGGTTAAAATGGACTATAAAATGCATGAGTCCGGTGACCAGTGAATAACAAGTGAAGGTATTTTTTCCTTATCAGTTGTAAGCTTTGTTCACTCAATTCGTAGTCCTTAACGTTTTCGTAAAAGAACCTGCATAACTTAGTAACAGAAGAGTACCCACCATTTCACAGCTTTTCATTCTATAATTCTGTCATCCCTTCAATACTGATCAGATAAAGCAGTGTTTCTCAATCTTGACAATTTTAAGGCATGTGGACTTCAACTCTCAGAATTCCACAGCCAGCATTGCTGGCTGTGGAATTCTGGGAGTTGAAGTCCACATGCCTTAAAATTGTCAAGGTTGAGAAACACTGAGATAAAGAAACCAAAGTTATGAGGGCTAACTTTCTGGTTTTTATAAAGTTACAATAACAGATCTTGCAAGTCTGAATGCTCCTCTCCTCTTGGTCCTTATTGAGAACTAGGGAGGGTCCGTCTGAGATGCTTCCTTAAATTACATTTCTGACCCAACTCAAGATTTTTTTTAACCACTGTTTCAGTTGTGGCTCTTCCTTAAGATTATTGAGATCATTCCTTCTACCCATAGCAATTTCACTACATTAAAGGAAGTGTGGAAGTGCAACGATGGTGCAGCTACAGGTTTCCTGTTTTTTAATGTAAGGACCCTTCCAAAATGTGAATCTCTTGTAAAGTTCCAGAGATGTTTAAAATGAAGGAGGAGTTTTCCAATGACCATGGAGCTGTTTTGGTCAGTAATGGGGGAAAACACAGTCTTTCCCTGCAAAGAAACAGCCCCAGTTACCCAAACTGCTGTCATTATCTTCTGTTTCACTGGCAAGCTTGAATAATGTCCGCCTCTTGGTTTCACATCTGTCATAGAGCTCCTGTGTGCAGAAAAAACAAGAGAAAAGAGGTAATTAAGCAAAAAAAAAAAAAGATATTCACATCTACCCAGGGAGTGATTAAAGTGTGGTCATCTGAGTGACACTGGCAGCTCTCTTACATGACAGGAACTAACTATTGTGTAAGGAAAAGATTCACACCAACCTTCATGAGCTCTTTATCTGCCTCGGAAGAGTCTTCTTTGCTGTAGTGGACCAACATCTCATTCAACAATTTCACATTGTTGTTCACCTCCTCCAAAGTATGCACGCGCTTTGTTACTTTCTGTATCCGTGCCTCATCCTTCAATTTTGAAACAAAAGAGCTAAAATTAAGTTTATTCTTTTCATTTCACCTTATAATTCCGGGCAGGCTGATTGAAGAGCTCAAGAAACCACATATTCCCATGACTGTTTTTAGAATTCTGGCTACAAAGTCCCGCTATCTGACATGGTTCTAAAAAAAAGCTTTTAGGAATATTTTATGCAGACAAACAAAGCTTAACGCAAAAATAAGAATCACTCTGTTCATACCAGTATATAAAATAGCAGAAAATTTTAGTTTTCACTGATCTGTCTAGATTATTTTTAGTTATTTAAGGTAAGAATTTTGTCACAGAGCTAAGGAATTTGAGAAGGAAAGGATAAATACTATACTACACAATATGCAAGGGGAGAAAAACTAAGGATAAAAGCAAGAAACTACATGGAATTAATAAAGAGAGTGTGTCATAGCAAAAAGGAAGGGGGGAAGAGATATTTTGGCAAGGAAAATTCCATGCTAGCTGGGAATGAGTGTTGTAGTCCAACATATCTGCAGGGTATCAAGTTATGGAATAATGGCATAAATCATTGATTCAACTGATGGAAGCACAGCTATCTTGTTACATGGTGGTGGGGGAGGGGTTGCCACTGATAACTCCTGGTGATTGCCTAGATTAGATATCAGTTTCTTTAGCAAGATTTTTGGAAGTAGTTTGATTCCTTCCTGGAGTTGAGAGTGACTGGCTTGTGGTCAGTCAGCTGGTTTTGTGCAGAACTAGAACTTTCATCTCCTAGCCTACACCTTAATCACTATGCCAAACTGGCTCTCTGTCATATGATGCAGACATTAGTAAACAAATGAGCCAGTAAACTGAAGATAATAGAATCTATTGACTCTCTAATTTAAGAGTTGGGAGGCTGAGTGGAGCTACAAATCCTTGACTATCTTGTCTGATTTGTTACACAACCTCCTGATATAATTTCACTCAAGAGATAAGAATTTGGTCATAAGGAAAACTAAAATCTTATTACTAGAAGGTCAGCACATTTAATTTTCTGATAACTAATGGCCTGGGTTAAAAAGATTCTAAAATATTTGAATTTATAAAACAAATTCCAAGCAATCATCACCTCTACAGTATTATTAAGTGCTCAGTCTCACCTCTTTCACCATAGATTTAATAAGCTTGTTTGCTTCTTGTAAATCATCTGGGTTTTTGCTTTTCAACAGTTTAGCTAAAAGCTGCAAAAAGGGAAAAATAAATAAATAAAATCACTGACTCGTTTTTTTTTTCCTGCTGTTGCAAAAATTCAATTGAAGGAACCCTAAAAATCTTATTCCTGATGCATATTTGAAGCATCAAATTCTAACTTTTGGCATTCTGATCTCAACCCTCTGGAATGCCATTTGGGGTGAGATGCGGCTTATAAACACAACAGCAAAACCCATTGATCTTGTTGGAATGTATCTAAGCCTCACTAACAAAAAGAACAACCAAGTCTCCAGTGTCAGCCCTGCAGCTGGCAAAGTCTCTTCTGGGTTGCCATACTTTCTGGAGAATGTTAGGTCTAGAGGCCTGAAACTATAACAAGTAAATGAAGGCAAGATTTTGCTAACAGGAGGAAGATGCTTGTAGCTTTCAATGATTCTAAGTTTTGAATCCCACATATTTTATTGGGCTGTCTGATTGTAGTCAACTTTGACAATATTATTAATTAAAAAAAAATCTAAAAAACAAGAGCTGTGGTGGTGCAGTGGTTAGAATCCAGAACTGCAGGCTAACTCAGTGGTCACTCCAGGAGTTCTATTCTGACCGGCTCAAGGTTGACTTAGCCTTCCATCCTTCGGTAAAATGAGGTCAGTAAAATGAGGACCCAGTTTGTTGGGGGCAATATGCTGACTCTGTAAACTGCTTAGAGAGGGTTAAAAAGCACTGTGAAGCGGTATATAAGTCTAAGTGCTATTGCTAATGTATTAAATAGACTACAGTAAGATGAGTGGGTGATCTTTTAATGACTCGTCTCAGCCACTTCCACATTTTCCTTCCTCAAAAGAAAAACAAATCATATTCATAATACATTAACTGTAAGATGTGAATTACTATAATGCCAAACAACCTAAGCCATTCAATTCAGCCCTAAATTCAGAGGATGACCAAAGTGAAACATTTTCTTCACCCACAAAGAAATAGGGAAATTATCCACAAATAGGGAAAACAGTACTACCTTGTTCAGAACAAAAGTAAGATTCATATCACATTACAGGTCAGAATTTGTGAACACGTCACCCGAGTGGGTTTTCTTTGCACTTAAAAATGCAACCCTTAATGTTCCTATGCTCAGAACAAGTAAGATCAAGAAGCATGACATTTTGTAGTGCACCCAAAAGTATCTGCAACTGCTTCCAAAAATCAGAGTTGTTGTGCTACAACATTCATGGGAAATAAGAAACATCCACTTTTGAACATTTCTAAAACTGCAGATGGAGAGGGAGCAGGAAAGTTACTAAATCCCAGTTTTACATTCTTTGTCCCAGTGTTTCTCACCCTTGGCTACTTGAAGATGTGTGGGCTTCAACTCCTAGAATTCCCCAGCCAGCCATTAACTGGCCACGGTTGAGAAACACTGTTCAATCCTATGAAAATCAGCTCAATGGAACTCGCCTGTTGCACATTATTATAGCTGAGGCTTCAACTTTACCTTGGATTTCTCTTCATCATCAAACACGGGGTTCTTGGGACGAGGTGGTGGAGATGGAATAAGGGTTTTCTCCACAGGAATAATAGGATCAGACAAGACAATGCCTGAAAGCAAACAGAAAACAACAGGAATGTCATACCCAAATATCTGAAAGGCTTCAGTCTGCTTCTCTCTTTCCACCTCCTGCTAACCTCCTGCTTTTGAATAACAGTTGCCAGATCACTTTCAGGGGGACTGTTGCATTTGAATCTGATACAGGCCAACCTTCTTTAACCTCATGGCCTCTGACTGGTACAACTAGAACTGTTGTCCATAATGCTCAAGGTAATGTTACTAGGGGATCGTAAGAGCTGTAAATCTACATATCTGAAGAGTAGTAATCTGGAGAAGGCTGACTTAGATTAAGCAAGCTTCATCTAACCTGGTTACTTTATATATCATCTGATTTAAAACTCCAAAGAAGCTTTACATCTAAATGGCAAATATGTAATTAGTATTCAGTGTGTGGATTGGCTGTGAACATATCCAGAACTCCCATCATGACAGCATTGAGAACTCCATAGCATTTTGTGGAGGGAAGATTTTATGTACTATTCTATAACATAGGAATAAAATTCCTAAACTATATAACGTATAATTGTATACTCCCATTATTACATTATTACAAAATTCTACAAAAAAAAAGGCAGTACAGGAAACAATTCTCTACCTTGTCTTTTCAACATGTGGTAGGCATCTTTGATTTTGGACTCATCTGGCAAAGCAACTGTCCAGCTGTACAGCAGCTCAATTATTTTGGTTTTGACCTTTTCTGACACTCTGTCTCCCAGGTACTGCAAGAATGCCCAAGAAGGTAAAATGTTTCAGTTTTTCTGCCCTCAAATAAAATAATAATTTTTGAACCATAAGATATTTCTAAGGTCAACTATATTACAAATGATTTTTTTGCTGATTTCAGATGCAGTAGATTAAGAAACGGACTTGTACATCAAGAAACCATATATTTGCTTTGACAACTATTTGGCCAAAACAAATTTCCAAATTTCTTCTATGAAGTGAGAACAGTGTGTGTGTGTGTGTGTGTGTGTGTGTGTGTGTGTGTGTGTGTGTGTGTGTGTCCCCGTGCACACATTTTAATGCACCATCAAAAGATTCAATGTGTCATCAGTATCTGAACCTCATCAAGGCAATCCTGGGCATGTCCATTCAGAAATAAGCATCACTAAATTAAATGGAACTTAATCCCAGGTTAAAACACATAGAACTGCAATGTAAAATTCTTTAATTATACGAATTGCACATATCCTCCTTGAATGATTCCTATCTCTGCATTATTCCTCGGCCTAGCAAGTTGTGCACTATATACTAAAAACTGTGCAAATAGGGTGAAGCACTTTTTAAGTGTAGCTGCAATTCAAATATTCACAGCTTGATTTATCTTTGAAGGATGTGCCTGAAAAAATTACGTTTGGGGGTATGAACAATCCACATACAGATATAAACGAAGAAAATAGAACTAATACTAACCTTGGGAGATACAACTTTTATTAGCTCATTTAAAAAACGAAACTTCCCTACTTCATTATGAAATCTGTGCCCACAATTCTTCATACAAGCTTCCAGTACCTACAAGTCAAGCAAACAAACTTGAGATAAGTATAAAAAATTAGGGTGGGTCTATCTGAAAGAAGTCCTCCAACTTGCCTCAAATAAGTCAGAGATTGCCTGTGAAATCACCAAATAGTATTTATACCATCAGGGTTTCATGTAAGGCAAAAGTGGATGTTTTCTTTTGAAACATTCCCTATTCCTTCAGAAATAATCTGTTGGGGATTTCCTTGTGGAGAGGACCAAAGACAGTGTGCATGGAAATATATTCCCCTTGCTAATAGCTTTAAATAAATCAATAGCTTTCCCCACCATTGTCTCACACTGACTTCCTTCCTTCAAGCAACAGCTTGCAGGGAAGGCAGTGTGAACTGACATTTTGAAATTAGACCATATTCATGCCCACCTTTCTCTTTTCCTTTTCCACTTCCCTCTGACTCAGTACGGTCATAAGAACTGTGTATGGATCTACAAGAATCAAAGATGAAAGTTCCCAGAGAAACCCCCTTTTTACAAGGAATCCTCTATGATTTTGTCTTCATGTGGACACTAAAAGAGTTAATAACAACATGGATCGAGTAATATAAAAAAATCTAGATGGATAATCTAATTCTAAAGAATTCGAACTATCCTTTCACTGGAGATAAATTAACCTGTTTAGAGTTAATTTACTGGGTCAGAAGACGACTTTTTGATATTACTATGGCACAATGATATATCTTCACTGGCCTAGCTAAGCACGTTATGTTAAGCCCATAAGTCACATAATTCAGCAAAATGAAATGAAGGTACCAGTTAGACATTATTAAACCATTTTAGTGCATTATACCTCAGGGAAACATGCATTTTATATCTGAAAGAACTGACTTCTGACCTTCCAAGTTATGCATTTAAGAAAGAGGACTGCATTCGTATCAGCCCCTAAGACTTAACAGAAAGTTGTTGAGGCATTAATGTCCTTTCCTAGCTAATGCCAACAACACCAGTTACTTTAGACCTAACCACAATTGTTATATTCTTATATTTTGCTTCAAAATCATAAAGAGTACAAAACATTTTGTAAGCCAGATGTTAAGGCAAACATAGTCTATACATTTTCCCATATGTGAAGCCAGTATTCAGGTCTCTGTTCCATAGTTAAAGAGCTAGGGGGAAATAAAATAAGAAAAATAATCCACAGTTTGCCACAGAAGAGGCTAATGATCACATGAGAACAATGTTCCTTAATCTAAATAACTCTTTGTAGCACCATTGAAAATTCTACTTCATAAAGATATTAATCTGTGTGCAAATCCAGAATTTCACAAGAGAGGTAAAGAAGACCTACTGTCAAGGCCTGGACTGCCTCCCATTCCTGTGGTGACTGGATTTTATGAGCCAGCAATCTAACAGCAATCTGTGGACTGAAATAAATAGGTTACTTATTTAAATAGCATTCCCCAAACATACCTGACCACCTACACAAAAAGATAGGAGACCATTGTTCTTTGTCCCTAAAAAAAAAAAAAATTAAGACAGGAGAGGAGAGAGAGTGCTAAGACTAAACAGGAGAAACAATCTGTGATTATTTCAGATACTTCTGTTTATTCACACTAAGGTTTGGGAAATACGAACAATAGAAAATGTTTCATTTTCATAGCTGCCCCTGCAAACTGCAGCAATCTCATTTTCAAATACTATTGTTATAAAGTGCATTCGGGAAGTATTCAAACCCCCTTCACTTCTGTCAATTTTGTTATACTGTTAAGGATTGGAGAAAGCAGTTTTAATGCCCTTCATTTTCTCATAACGGAAGGATACCATTTTTCAATAACTCCAAATGCTACAATTCATTATCCTCGTTTCCCCTAAATGTCTATGGAGATTCTCAGTCATTCAGGTCATGGTTATCCCAAAGATGCTTTTTCATGAGGCAACTGGACTTTCTTGTTTTTCTTGGAAGACGTTTCCCTTCTTATCCAAGAATCTCTTTCAGCCTCGTGAAAAAGCATCTTTGAGATATTTTTCCCCTAGAAAAAAATATATGTGGATTTATAGGCGGCTGTTACGTATAAGCTGGGTTGACAAGATCAGAAATGAGGAGGTGATAAAGCCGCCTGGGAAAGCCAAGGAAAATCATCAAAACAATTAAAAAATGAAAATTAGAATATTTCGGACATGTGATGCGATACCCAGAAAAACACGGCATACTCCATTTAATCCTCCAGGGAAAGATTGAAGGCAAACGAGGTCCAGGCAGAAGAAGAACATCGTGGCTTCAAAATCTAAGGGACTGGTTTGGACAAAACTCAGCAGCACTTTTTCGTGCGGCTGCTGATAAAAACAGGGTCGCCAACATGATCGCCAACCTCCGATAACGGATATGGTACAAGAAGAAGAAACATTTAAATCCCACATGCCTACTAACATTTAGAATCACTGCAGTATTTTGAGGATGAAACACTCGAAAAGAGCAACTAACATCCCTCATATTGCAAAAGGTATCAGAATCAGAAATGAAATAAAATGTTATCCCTGGATTTTAAACCAACCCCTAGCCATATTCATGGAGTGCTTTGACATATTTCCTGCACAGTTTTCATGTTTGAGAGTGCAAAGTACAGGTGGGTCCTCAACTTACAACCACAATTTGGACTGGGATTTCCATTGCTAGGCAAAGTGGTTGTTAAAGGAGTCGTGCCCGATTTCATGTCTTTTGCCACGGTTGTTAAGCAAATCACTGCAGGGTTTTTTTGAATCAAGTGTCGTTAAGCGAATCCAGCTTCCCCTACTGACTTTGCTTGTCAGAAGCCCAGTGGGAAAGTCACAAATGATCATCACAGGACATTGCAACCATCATAAATGCATGCCAGTTGCCAAGTGTCCAAATTCTGATCACGTGACCATGGGGTGCTGCGACAGTTTTAAGTACAAGGACTGGTCATAAGTCACTTTTTTCAGTACTGTTGTAACTTTGAATGGTTGCTAAACTAATGATTGTAAGTCGCTGACTACCTGTACTAATATCTCATCAAAATCAAGTATTACATGTAACATCAACTGAATACAGTTTATGTGATGGGGTTTGATCCATCACATGAACTGTATTAAACTAAGGATCAAATCCTGTAGCTTTCTAAAAAAAAAAAAAAAAAATCCCTTCTTCAATAAAACTTTATGATGCAATGTGGATAGTTTTAGATACAAACCCTTCAAGTTCTTTGTTGATCTGATCACAGAAGCCAATAATATACTCCCAGTCTTCCTGTCTATTCAAGGGGTTGGTGGCTTTGTCTGGTAAAAAGAAAAAGCAAAGGTGTTAATGGATTTAAAAAAAAAAAATCTCAAACTTCCTTCTGACTTGAAACAGTTGGTGAGTAATATGCTAGTATACTTATCTCTCTTTCTCTTTCGGAAAGGCCTTGGGAAAAACAAAAACACTTCATATAGTGTAGTCATGATTAAGAGCCAGGGATATTAGCTCATGAAAACTTACCAGGTGACCCTGAGCCTGTCTTTTAGTCCAAACTATCAATCACAGAAGACTGTTACAGAGAAAAACTAGAAAAGGATGCTACGCATAGCCACTTCAGATTCTAGAGCAGGGGCGTCAAACTGGCGGCCCGTAAGCCAGTTGCATCATACGGAGGCCCTACCACCCCAGTTCCGGCAATGCAAAAAAAGTTGTGATATGTCATGACACGTCACGTGATGCGGCGAGTTTGACCCCCGTGTTCTAGAGGAAAGGCAGGACATAAATATCTATATAAATAAAACTGTAAATGTTCGTTTGTTCAAAATCTTAAATCTCCGAAAGTTCTTCACCGATTGCTTTGAAATTTTGACACAACGTTGCATTTGAATACGCGCGTGTTTTTATATACCTATATTATATACTGTAGATGTCACACCTGTGACAGGTAAAAACATGCTTTTTTGAAAAACAGCGCCATCTGTTGGACGTAAAAGCAACACACACTACAATTTTACCATTCCATTTCAATGTTTCCGGTTTACGATCCATTTACGATTTCCAAATTTCCAATTTTACCATTCCATTTCAATGTTTCCGATTGCATTGTTAAATTGAATTTTCATAGATTTCGATTTATTTTCATTTTGATTTAATTATTTCGTGTGACATTGCGTTGGAATGGATGCACAGACAATGGAACAACAAAAAATATTGTATACCCACAAGCATTGTGAAATTAAACATATTAGAAACGTGCGCTTTCTCTTTTCTTTCTTTTCCATTTAACCAGACTGAGCCACAGTACAGGTACTGGGTACAGCTAGTAACAAATAAAGGGAAATAGCGAATCAGCTGCCTGAATCAGCTCACGTGGCTGATTTAGAAGCTGTTCCCCATTTTCCAAACACCTGTGAATGTGCAACTGATTGCTTCATTTTCTTCCCACCAAAGCAAACCGGTTGGGCATCAACATGCACGAGGAGGCTGCCAGAGCAGCATCCAAAGCAGTGATGCAAGGCCTACAGACGATACCACTGCTTCAAACATTTGAAAATGAAGTGCTTCACATTTACTTCCATGTATTTTGAAGTGCTTTCCTTTCAATGCTTTACACACCAATATTCAACAGTATTTGCCACAACACACACACACACACACCCCTACAAAAAATATTAGCAAGAAATCATTTTTCAAAACATCTTTCTCTGAGATACAGAAAGCTGGTTGGAAGATGTCTGAGATATTTTTTTAAAAGGAGAGCTATATCCATGTACAGGAAGAAGAAAAAAAATAACACCAGGTGCTTCCAGGAGGATTTTTATTGTCATGGCTGGCATTTGGAGGTGCACCAATATGCCTATTAAAATGTTTCCTGGAGACAACCAGCCTCTCTGCCCCACCTCATTTTTTTTCCTCGGTAATTTTAATTTTTAAAAAATGAATGACAATCTGTTGTAAAGCAAAGCACTAGCCTTAAGCATATCCTTAATTTTCAATTACTCCAATCAAACCTCCAGAAGCACTTTTACCAAACATAGCCCAGGATTTTGATAGAACTGCCATGGTAGGATCAATTTTGAGAGAACGCATACAACACACCTTCAGAATTGTATAAGTGACCATTGACCCTCAAAAATTAGGGGCTCCTAGTGTGTAGTATAATAAAAAGTGGGATGAGAGGCAACACCAATACAGACAGGATATTTTACCTGAAAATAATAAACAAAGTTAATGGTGACTGGATGACCATTTTTTAAGTCATGTTATGCTAATATCATACTGGCATTGAGTCAATCAATTGTGGCATTTTGTAAAAAATATACAAATGAAAAAGCCCTGGATTAAGGTAATCAGCTGTCTGCTTAAATGGAAGCCGGGCTGACTGAACAGGCACAAGTTAGACATGCCACTGCAGAATCATATGCTTATTGCTTAACATCTTTTTTATCATCATCCAATCGGGCACATATGCTCAAGAAATCTCTGTGACATGTGGATTTAAAAAGAGGCTTGGAAAACATCTGAAGCTATGTAGCTTCAGGGCCCATCGGGGACAAAACATATCCAATGACTTTGGCAGCAAGTGTAATCAATCTCTGGTGAGATTTGCTAAAATCCAGAAAATCTCCATGTTGTCTTTAAAAAGATTCCAGTCAGGAGGGATGTCTTGGAACACTCCAAGGTCCTTGTATCATAAGAGTGTAGCCTTGGCTTGCAGAAACCTTATCTACTAGTAGTATTTGCCTTTTTTTCCCATCCTGAATGCTATCCATCAGACAATATCCACTTGCCCTATAAACCTTGAGTACTCATAGGACATAAAAGTCCATTATGTACCAAAAAAAGGGAAAAGTCATAATGTTATCATCACAAACCCTATGCTGCTGTGGGTAACTAAGAATCTAAACAAGAAATATTTAATATTATGAGCAAGTAAATGATAATGCAGATATTTGTGATTAAATGGTGCCCTCCTAAATTACAAAAAGATGACTGAGCAGTAGCCAGTCCTAAACTCAAAATATAATTGACATTTCATGTTCAAATGCAGAAAACCCCCAACAAAAAAGAAACCAATTCTAAATAACTGGTTTTGAAAGAGAATTGGCACTGAAAATAAGACCATGAATGCAGAACAGAGACGGACTGTATCAAGTCTGCAGGATGTGATCATTGGGTAGGAGAAATTCAGTCAATTCATGAAAAGGCAGGGCTTTTGTCCAGGATTTTATTCCAGAGGAAGGTGAAAACAGAGGAGAGGAATTTGGGAGCTGTGGACGGAAGGAAAGTATCTGAGGAAAACTTGAAATCCTACTCCTAGAAAATCTCCATCTGTCAAAGTGACAGGTTTATGAGTATATATTTAATGCAGGTAAAGCAAGGATTTCGTAGCCCACAGTTATTTAGTGATATTAAGAGAATCTCATTATAAATCATGTTAAGTTATTTAAATAGTTACATTTAGTTCAAGTCTCTGTTTAAATGTTAACAAAGTTATTATGTTGTTCTATATCTCCCCCCCCCCCGATCCACCTATTTATATTCCCTCATGTATATAATGAAATACAGGAGAACAACAAAATAATTTAAACACCATGAGACAATTTGGTGATGGCAGTAAACGTCCTTTGGAGATTAATGGGATTAAATTTCAAGCATGAAGACTAAAATGATAATAAGAAAAATACAGCCACAAGAAGAGGATATATCATGCTTTAAGAGAATAACTGTGAATGAAATTAGTATTAACTGGACACACACAAAAAACAAGCAGATATCATGTCTTTGCCAGAAAAATAATTCAAAGGGATCACAATTTTTTTTTTATCTCTTCATTTGCTTATTTATTTTAATATTTCAATATTAGAACATGGATGCAATGAATCCAAAAACATTTTTGTTTTAAAAATACCATAGTGTTTCTGCACAGTACCTCCACACAGCTTTAGTGGTTACAGCAACAGTTTTTTTGAATGTGTAACAATAACATCTACCATGTTTTCTGAATTGGAAGTCAGGATAAAATAACTATGCTCAGTTATACCAAGAGAAGCTCCGGTACATAGGAAACAGTTCTGCTGAAAACACTGGACAACTTTGAAAGTGACTTGAGAAAGACTGTGTTTGGTGAATATAACTCTTCCATAACACTAAAGCATGGCTTCTCTCTTCATATTCCCTTCCCTATCTGGTTACATCTTTCTCCTTTCCCGTCTCTGTCCAGTTTAGTTTCCCCTCCTCCCGTCTTTCTCTTGCCTTCCAACGCAGCAACTGTTCACCCCATTTCCATCCTGATTTCTTCTTCTTCTTGGCTGCTTCTGCAGGAAGAGGGGAGGAAAATGTGGGCATGTGTTTTATAGGTCACAGTGGCTTCTGGGTAAGAGGCAGAATATTTGATGTTAGAAGATTTTATTAATTTTGTAACGGAGGTAAATTATTTTATAAGCAATTAATTTTAATCAGACATTCTGTTTTTATCACAGCCGTAGCTTTTTTTGGAGTGCAGCTTCTGACACAGAAAAAATGTGAACCAGAACTCCAGACTGGTTTAAAAGGAATTGACAACTCTGATTTAATAAGGCAAAGAAACTGGGCATCTTTATACATCTTTTTTTCCCCCTTTCTCTTTAATCTTTGAAGTCAGTAATTATTTTCTAGTTAATAGTTTAAAACGTAGATGCTAGGAATAAATTGAAAGGTCAAAGCAAATTATGTAATAGTTTTTAGTTAACATAATTTAGTTATTAAAAATGAAGTTATGAGAATGTGAAAAACACACACTCGCTTTTTAATTTAGGTAATTCTTATTCCAATTACCATCCCAAATTATTTGCCAGTAATTAGAAATCCAAATAAAGGACATTTTTTAAAAAAAATGAAATATTTAAGGTAAGCAACACAGAATAGCTGCAACAATTAATACTTGATGTCAGAGCCCAATACAGATGAACAGGCTAGCATTTTCTTAAGAAAATATGAACAATCTACTTATGATCTTTGATTTGTGATAGCTGATCTACACATATACATTATAATACTAGAACAGTGATGGCGAACCTTTTAGAGACCGAGTGCCCAAACTGCAACCCAAAACCCACTTACGTATCGTCGAGTGCTGGGGGTGGCTCATTGGGTGGGCTTGGCCAATTGGGTGGGCGTGGCTGTGGTGGTAACGGTAGACTGGGTGGGACTAAAAAGTTCAATCAATCAATTCCAACTTTGAGAGATCTTTTTCTTCCCCACGAGAAGTTGAAATTGATTGATTGAAACTTTTTTTTTTTGCACACAGCGGCAGAGGCCTAAAGCAAAAAGGGTTTATAAAACCCAGCTAAAGACCTAGGACTGGGGCGACGGCGTGCATGCCCACAGAGAGGGCTCTGCGTGCCACCTGTGGCATGCGTGTCATAGGTTCGCCACCACAGATCTAGAATATGCGAAGCAGCCATTAACACCTATTTCCATGCTTAACCTGAACTAAAAAAGACTTGCAACCTGCTATTTTAAGTCCCACGTTAGGCATGGAAGCCAGCTGGTTAACTGGACCAGTTACATTCTCTCAACCCAACTCAAACGACAGGATTGTTGTTGTGGGATAAATAGGAAGAAGTATTAGGCACGTTTGCTGCCTTGAGTTATTTATAAAAACACAGGTAGTTCTCAACTTACAAAGTTACAATGGCACTGAAAAAAGTGACTTATGACCATTTTCATTGCAGCAGTATCCTGATCACGTGATCAAAATTCAGATGCTCAGCAACTGCTTCATGAGGGTTGCAGTGTCTCAGGATCAAGTGAACAGCTTTTGTGACCTTCTGAGAAGTTAAGTCAACAGGGAAGCCAGATTCACTTAGCAACCGTGATAGCAACTGCAGTGATTCACTTAACAACTGTGGCATGAAAGGTCATAAAATGGGGCAAAACTCACTTAACAAATGTCTCACTCAGCAACAAATATTTTGGGCTCAACTGTGGTCGTAAATCGAGGACTACCTGCGATAAAGGTGGGATTAAAAAAAGAATCATAAGAGGAAAGAGAGGGATTGTGTGGGAGCTAGAAAGCTTTTTTAAAAAAAATCAAGTGGTATTTTCTCAAATTTATTCTTTCTTTCTATCAAAATTAATGGAAGCAAATTTTCTATGCCAGCTCAAAAGCAAGTCAGAGCTGGTCTAATAAATGATACTGATTTTCTAGTATCTGCCTCCTGAGGCCTACTCAATAAAGGAACTTCATTTTATTCACTCTACTGATTATCCATGACACAATACATAAAAGGAGTAATAAAGGTTATTGGCTAAGGCTGAACAATGTACTGTGAAATTCATGCCTTCCAATCACATTTTTACAGTACATTTGCTATGCAGCCTTAAAAATGAAAAAGCAGTTTTTAAGTTAAGAATGCCAGTTTGGTGAATACCTAGACAAAACTATGCAGGGTTTTCTTCTTTGCAACAGTGCAAAACTGGTTTGCTATTGCTTTTTTCCCAGAATTGTCTAACCTACAGCTTTATAATTCTCTGGTGATCTGATCTCCCATTCAAGTACTAACCGGCAAACAATTATCTCTCAGCATCAGACTTCTGTCTGCAATATGAGAATAACAACATTAATCTTTTTTTCACTTTGACATAATGTACGTGAAGCATTTGGAGCAAACTAAGAACATACCACATGCAGGCAATGCACTTCAAAGTCTACCAAGGGGCACTATCTCCAAGATTAATAAAAGCAAGGCTATCAGTTGCTGGGAGTAAAAATTGAAAAGGGTACTGTTGTGTGGTATTACTTGTTGGCTTTGCAAAAGTATCCATCACCACTGTGACAAATAGGATGCTGAACCAGACAGACTTTTGATCAGACTACCTAAAGCTCTTCTTGGATTCTTAAAACTTTCATCCATTTGTTCCCCATCCTTATGCCATTTCTGCAATTTAAAATATGTCTGGAAAAATGATGTAATTTGAATATATGTTGAACATGTAAAGGTTTTCCTAGCGTGTGGTGCTCATCTCTGTTTCTTGGCTGAGGGAGCCAGCATTGTCTGAAGACATTTTCCGTGCTCATCTGGCCAGCATGGCTATACACTAAAGGCCCACGGAACGCTGTTACCTTCCCGCCGAGGTGGTACTTATTAATCTACTTGCATCTGCATGCTTTTGAACTGCTAGATGGGCAGGAACTCAGGCAGGAACAGGAGCTTACCCTGTGGTGAGGCACTCAGGTTTTGAACCCAGGCTGTCAGCTTTGCAGCTGATAAGCTCAGCGTCTTTAATCGCTGAGCCATCATGCCCCCTTCTATGCTGAACAATAAAACAGAACTAAAAAATGCAAACCCATAGCATCTGAAATATTATAATTATTTAACAGAAGAAAATGCACATAGAATATTTTACTTTCCTCCTCTTACAAATTAATCACTGTTTAATGGAGCCAATCCGCAGGAATCTTCAAGTACTGCCAATGCAACTCAGATTTTCTGTTTAACTGAGTGTGTATATTGTGTATTGAAGTGCACAGTCGTCCTTACTTTATTGCAACAGGCAAAACATCTCACTGGCAGTTCAGTGCAGAAAGGGGGAAAAAGGATTTTTTCCTGTAGCATTTAAAAACTGTACGACAGAGCTAGATAGGAAATTACAACACTGGAAAATTGTGAAAAGGCCGAAATCAGTACTAATGAATAACTTACAAATAAGTGAATGGAAAGAGGAAGAGGATAGTAGAAATAAAGTGTATATTTCAGGAAATGGGATCTTTTTCTAACAAATAAAAGTGAAGGGGAAAAAAGTGATTTGGGAATATTCTGAAGCAAACAAAGTAAAAACAGTACTGTAAAAATACAGGTAGTTCTTGAGTTACAGCCATTCATTCAGGGACTGTTCGAAGTTATGACTGGTTCTCAAGTTCCAAACTTTGCAGCACCCCACAGTCACATGAACAAAATTGAAGGGCTTGGCAACCAGCTTGCACTTATGACTGGTTGCAGTGTACTGGGGTCACATGATTGCCATTTGCGATCTTTTCTGCTGCATTTTCTAATCTAGAAGCAAAGTCAATGGGGAAACTGGCAGGAAAGATCAAAGTCGCTCAGGCCTCTCCCACCCTCCTGCCACACTTCTTCTGCACAGGCAGACTCCCTCCACTTCCCACTTAATGACCCATACTACTGGAGTTATAACAACAACCAGGACTGCCTGGATTGTCGTCTCTAAGTGATGCGGTCACATGATGACCACATTGCTTTATGACCACATCACCTAGCAACGGGATCTTGGTCCCAATTGCAGTCCTAATTTGAGGACTGCACGTGTCCTAAAGGATAAGCTCCACTGCCCCAAATTTACACAGTTGACCTAATTTGTAGCCACAGAACATTATAATAACTTGCATGCTGCCAGAGAAGTAAATAACACCTTGTCCCAGAGAAGAGGAAGTGTTCCATTTAGTAAGTGCACTCCTATAAGCTAGAAGGGAGGACACACGAGCTCTGGATCAGAAGGAACCAAAAGGCCGGATTGCAAGAGGCGACTGGTCCAAAGCTTGAAAAGCTAGGGTGGGCGGAGGTAAACGACAACAAGCAGCGACCCCGAAGCTCTCCGTGGGCTTCCTTTAGTTTAGTCCCAAGAGCCGGCTTGTCCACCTGATGAACCCTTGGAGGCACAGAGGAGCCCCGCCACGGCTTTTCAACCCGGTCCCGCTGCCGTTTCCAGCTCCGATCCCCGAAGTTCAGCCGATCAGGGTCAAAGCCACCCCGCTCTGTCGCCCTCCTCCTCCACCACCACCCCCTCGGACTTCCCCCTCCAAGGCTGTCACGATCCCATTCGCTTTCCTCTCCAGCGGTGCAAACACTTCCCCTGTGCCTCTATCGCCCGCCCGCCCGCCCGTTCCTAACGCGCCTTCCTTCCAAGGCCAGGCGAGACTCCTGCCGCATCGGCCGCCGCCGCCTCCTTGCCCGGCGGCAGGAAAGAGGGCAAGGGTTACTCACTCAGCCAGGACTCCAAGCTTTCCCCTTCCGCCTCCGCCATGTTGCCGGCTGGCTCGGAGACTCCGCCCCCGATCAGGTTACGCCACGGCTGCGCCGAGCCGACCAGGCGCCGCCTAACCCTGGGGGGGTGGGGATGGGGTGGGAGAAGGTCCGCGTCTCCTCCTCTCGCAGCGCCCTCTGGCGGCGGGCGTCATTGACTATCTCTTTTTCTGTGATCAGGTGGTCCTTATTCTTGCGAGGATTGTCATTCCCGCATCTCCAGTTCGCTTGTGCGGTCGCCTTTTCAAATACGTCGGGTGTGGTTGAAAAAAATGATTCTACTTAAGAAAAAGCAGAAAGGTTTCCCCTAAATCCCTGCTTCCATCCTTGGCAAAGTAGACCCCAAAGCTGACAATAAAAATCAAGATTGTATATCCCACTTACTGTAGGACAGATTATCTTAAAGCACAATTTTCTCCATCTATACAATGTAATGACCCTAAAAGGCTACACTTTTCCTTCAAGATCGCCACACAGTTTACAGAACTCTGTCCCCCTATATAGAGAGATTACTAGGAAAATAAAATAGAATAAGCTGTAACCCAGAGGTTTGTTTGCCTGATGTACAGATGCTTTATGATCTCCCGTAACCATGTGACAAACTATGGTAAACTAGCAACGACGAGTCTTTATTCCTAGCGTGGCCCAGCCTCCCACAGTACGGTATCTAATCTAAATAGATGAGGGATTACAACTCCCGCCGCTTGGGATTTTGGGAGCTGTAGTTCCAAGTTCCAACACGGCCGACCGGCTCAAGTTGCATTTTCCCTAGAACCGCTTTTTTACGCGATGAGCATTTTTGGACGCAGCCTCTATTAGCCCCATTTTTTTATGTCTCAAGCTTGGCTTCTTGGGCCAAACTAGCGCATTGTTTCTACCCGCTTAAAAAACCGAGGAGTACTTGCCCAGGATTGGAAGGAGGAGGTAACCCCCCTTATGTCCACTCACTAACTCAGCAAGAAATCGAGATGATTACTCAACGAGTAAAAACTTGTTTTTGCACTTTCTACAGATACACCAAGAAGAGAACGTTAGCATGTCCAAGCTTTCTCTGCAGAGATGACCACCTCGCTTAAGCGCGTTAGAAAGCGAAGAAGGAACCTCCTCCTCCGTTTTTTTGCAGAACTTCCCGGTTGATGGCTACGTCACAAAGGCGCGTGGAATGGAAAAAGCCCCTCCCCGCGGAAGGCCGTTTCCACAGCAACAGCGCTCCTCCCGCCCCCGCCCTCCCAGGCGGCCCTTTGGGCAGCCCTCGACCAGGCCCTGAAAGGCAAGATGGCGTCCCCCGTGGTGGAGAAAGTCGGGCGCCTCGTCCAGCAGCTCTGTGGCTCTCGGAAGCTCTGGCTACCCGGGTAAGGCATGGGAGGAGCAAAGAAAGTTGAAAAGGCTCGAGGCGAGGCCGTGTAACGGAGAGAGGGAGGATTGGCTTTATTTGGTTCCCTAACTAGAACGGCACTTGGCATTATGGTTCCTCGAGGCAACATGCATGCCAGGCGGGAGCGAGCGTGGAGGCTGTGTCAGGAAATCCTCCAATGCCTTCTGTGAAATTAAACATCCCGGTCCTACGCTCGTTCCCCTGAGGATTGCATGGCCGCGGTCATGCGATGTTCTGCAAGCGGTTTTGCATTGCTTCTTTCCTTTTTAAGCCTTTGAAGGTCAGCCAAGTTGCATGCAAGGTCTAAAGCAGTGTTTCTCAACCTTGACAATTTTAAGACAGGTGGACTTCAACTCCCAGAATTCCACAGCCAGCAATGCTGGCTGTGGAATTCTGGGAGTTGAAGTCCACATGCCTTAAAATTGTCAAGGTTGAGAAACACTGGTCTAAAGTTATTGGAGCCAACTGGGTTTATTTCTGCTCGCTTTATTCTGGGGCTGAACGAAGTGGGTTGCGTTGCACCCGGGAGACTGGACCCCTGAGATTGCATGTGAAGAAGGGAATTTACCTGCAGCATTCTAAATTTGTGTGTTCTGAAGGTTGAAAATATCAGTGTGACCACCGTTTTCTGCTCATCAAATCCTTTGTAGGCTGACTCAAGTCAGGTGGAGCCGATACAATCCTGCATTCATTGAACCAGAAGTGAATAAAGAAACTTATCGTAAATCTCCAGAGGAAATGCCAGAGGAAGAAAAAATTAAACAGCAATTGAAAACAACCCAGCCAGTAAAAGCCACCAAATCCGCCATCACCAGTTCTGTGTTTTATGATCCCACGATCAGGTTTGGGTTTTTTATTATTTAATTTAATATTAATTTTATTAAAATTTACGTTTAAAATGATAAAGAACTAGTACAAACTAACAAAAAATAGATGGTGCAGGAAAAAATATTAAAAAACAGAAAAGGAATTACAAATAATTTATAGTTTAATAATTAAACTGGCAGTTTAATAAATAAACTGGCAGGAATAGCCAACACCCCAGAAGACAAGCTCAGGATTCAAAAAGATCTTGACAAACTGGAACAATGGGCACTATCCAACAAAATGAGTTTTAATGTGGAGAAAAGCAAAGTTACATTTAGGCAGGACAAATCAAAGATATAAGTAGAGATTAGGTGAGACCTGGCTCAAAAACAGTAACTGTGAGAGGGACCTTGGAGTGGACGATCACTTGACTATGAGCCAGCAATGTGCAGCAACAGCCAAAAAAGCTAATACAATCCTGGGTTTCATAAACCGAGGCATAGAATCAAGATCACACACAATATTAGTACTGCTTTATAAAACCCTAGTGAGACCACACCTGTGGTACTGCAACCAATTTTGGTCACCATACTACAAAAAAGATGTTGAAGCCTTGGGGAAAAGTTCAGAGAAGAGCAACTAAGATGATCCAAGCCTGTTAATAGTCTATTAATATAAATTACTTATAGAAAGTCTACAACTGTTTTATTTACCACAAATTACTCCAATCATTATCTCTGTCCAGAATCAAATACCCTCATTTGGTTCTTAATAATGAAAGCTTTCCTTAGGTTTTTAATTGGGAACTTTCCCAGCAATTGCATTTCTAAAGTTCATTAGTCTCTGTTGTAAATGTCTCCGCAGCATCCATTGTTGAAAAATTCTCCTTTAAAACACAGCCTTCATCTTGCCAGGAAAGTCCAGTCCATCCTTGTTTCAGAATTTCTAGTATTCACATTCCCTTTAATCTTTTCTGGCAGATGTATATATTTTTCAAACCACATGCTTTTTTCTTCACATCTGACAGCAGCAGATCAGGTTCCAAATCGTATTCCAGTTCATCAGGTTGCAAATCAATCCAACTGTTATTTCCAACTTTTGGATATTATCTTGAGTTTGCACAGCCACTGTTGATCCATCAAACTTTTTATTTATGGTTTCAAATAATATAAGTTGGAGAGTGTTAGTTACATAATGATAAGAATTTAATGTTGTGGAATGATATTAGACTGCTAAGTGCCACAGGTAGTCCTTATGAACAAAATTGGGACCAGAATTTCCATTGCAAAGGAAGAAAGTTGTTCAGTGAGTCGTACCTGATTTATGACCTTTGTGCCATGGTGATTAAGCAAACCATTGCAGCTCTTAAGTGCATCACATTGCCATTAAGTGAATCCAGATTCCCACTTTGATTGTTGGAAGCCAGATGGCAACATTGCAAATGGTGACCACGGAACACTCTAACTGTCATAAATATATAGTGTTTGCTAAGTGCCCGAATTTTGATTATGTGACTGTGAGGGTGGTGCAACAGTCATCAGTCTGAGGTCTGGTCATAAAACACTTTTTTCAGCGTCACTGTAACTTTAAACATCATTAAATGGATGGTTTCAGTTGAAGACCACCTGTAAGACCATCACATTTGTATTTTGTCATTACAGCAGATTCATTAACATGATGATGAAAGGGGGTAATAAACTCTTGGCACGATCCATCATGAATCAGGTACAATGAATGTTTCACATGCTTTTGCTTGATTATTGCCTATATGGGAAGGAAATAATATCCTTATATTATGGTTATACAAAAAATGCTTATCTTCTATTAACAATCTATTGCATATTCAGTTATTTCTTTGGTTTGCTTCTTACCAAATGCCAAAAGAATAATAAATTATATGTAAATCTGTGTTTATGCACCATATTTTTAAACCTGTCTTTCAGAATTATATTGGAAGAAGGGTCAGAATTTTTCTAAGGCCTTTTTAATTTTCTTTTTATATTTTTATATTGCTTTTAAAATAACTGGGGGGGAGACAAAAGTAACGTAAAGTAACATACAAAGATACACTACATTATCAAAAAAAGCCATAACAAGTACTTAAAAAGTAAGTGAAAAAATAGAATGTAATGTATCTTTATAACAATTGCAATTGTGCAGTATATATAATTATTTAAAGCAAACATAAAAGTGTGTGTGCGTGTCACTGTATATTCATTCTAATTTATTACTATCATGCTTTTTAAGGCTCTGCTGATAGTATAATTTCAAAAGTCAACCATAGCTTTGAGAACTGAGAAAATCTTTGTTACATCTATTAGCCAAGGAGAGGTTAGGGCAGGGGTGTCAAACTGCCAGCCCGTGAGCCGGATGCGTCACATGAAATCTGCGCCCACCTCAGCTCCGGCAAGGGGGAAAAAGTCGCGATACATTGCGACATGTCATGTGATGCAGCAAGTTTGACACCCCTGGTCTAGGGGGTCTGTTCTCTGAATCTTTCTCAAATGTCATGGATTTGTAAATTACATATCTTATGTAAAATTAGATGTAGCATTGTAACACTGATTAGTGTCCATCTGCATATGGAAATTAGTTCCATGTTGAGTAAATCATATTGCTGAGTGAGCCCTTCACAATCCTTCCTTTACTTTTGTTTGGAATTAAGACTTTAGAGGCCATTAAAAGGAAGCAACTTGCGAAATATCATGAAGCAGATGAAGAAATGAAAGAAAAAATTGAGTGCAACCCTTACAAAATCTTCTATCAAGCAATCGAAAACTGTCAACCTGTAATTGGGCTTGCGGGTATCATTAGAGGAGGTAAAAGGTATCAGGTAAGGGATAAATAGAGAATGCCGAGTTAACACCATGCACTGAGTTTTTAAACTTGTGCTACATAAATTTTATTGAGACAAAAATTTGCTTGCATTTTTTTTCTTTTGAATTGCTTTAAAATTGCATGGTATGATCTTCAGCGGAACTGGACTCTTGCATACATTTTTGCATATTTATATATAAGGCAAAAACATTTCTGAGAATTTTCTCTTGCATTTTGAAAAGTTCATTACATTGCAGAAAACAGCCTTCATCCACTTTAGTTCTAAGTTGAGATCCCAGAATTGTTTCACTGATTTATAGGGGCACTCTGATGTTGGTTTGCGTTTTTTGTAACTTAAATATGAAATTATCTGGGTGGCATACTTCAAAAGCAATATGACGCTGGGTGGCATACACCAAAAGTAAACAATAGCACATGCAAAATATCCACACACATTAAATAGTTTTTGTAACAGAAAACTTGCTTTCAACATTTTTTGAAGACATATATTTAACTTTGTCATAAATTTAATTAGCAGACTATGATATTAAAGTATATTGAGCCCCGCCTGTTGCTTTTTGCAGGTACCAACTCCTTTAAAGATCAGTCGGCGGAGATTCTTAGCCATGAATTGGATGATCACAGAATGCAGAGAGAACAAGCACAGACGAACATTTATGCCTGAAAAGCTCTCAAATGAGCTGCTGGAAGCCTTCAACAATAGTGGCAATGTTATAAAAAAAAAGCATGAGTTGCACAAAATGGCAGAAGCTAACCGGGCCTTTGCTCATTATCGATGGGCGTAAAGAATGCTGTGTGCTATTGGATCCAGTGTATGACTACTTAAGACTTTTGCTGCCAGAAAAGACTTTTTGTTGTTTTAATTCCATGTGCTTTTCTTTGCATATCACTAATCTGAGCAGGAAATTCCATGCTTCTCATCCAACTCATCAAAGAATATGAACTGAAGAAAATTGTAGCTAAAATACAGGGTCTTTCCTTTCAAGCTCACACGAGTGGTTTTGAGCATGCCACATCCCAAATGATATTATCAATAAAAATCATTGTTTATTTCCAACTTGTGTTCATCAATTTCCATTCATTGAGAAGAAGGTGATTGAAAGCAATCAGAGCTAAAAAATAGCAAAAATGGGAACTACCTTCTGATTTGTTCTTTGTATATCTGGTGAAGAAATACTTCAGTATTATAGGTTCTTTGTTGAAAATAATATTAATGAGAGATCAGCAGAATGAATATTTGTCTCTATTTACATATATGCCATCTCATGGGCAAAAATTAATGACACATAATTTTTATCCTTAAAATACCAGTGAGCAGGGGTGGGCTTTTTGCCAAGAGTCTTCTCTGTAGGCATCCAATGAAATGATTACTACAGCTTATTCTACCTCACTGCTATTTAAATAACGTACTCATTTTAAATTATGAGCTCTATCTACAACATGTGAATTCTACTTGATTGTGATGTTTCAAGCTTGCTGGTATCTTCTGGAAGTAGCAAGCAAGAATGCCAAACATTTTAATATTTCCATTTATTAATGAAATATATCCAACGCATAAGACTTGAACCTGGTTTAGGAATTACAGCAATAATGAATTTCTTTAAAAGAAGAAAATAAATTATTAGATTATAGCTCTTTTTAGGTAATATTAATTTACTTGGCTACATTTAGGAGTGATTGCATTGTTTCAGTTGCATCTGAATGATTTCAGTAGCATTAGCGATACCTAGAGATAAATTATTAAATTGAATTTAAAGTATTGATATTAGCAATAGAATTGGAAAGATGGAACTAAAAATAGTATTTGGGGAAAAATAATTTACCTCTGGTAAAAATCGTCAGTCACCAGGTCCCAGAAATAAGTTTCTTATACATTCAAAACCCCAGAAATCTCTCTCAGGGTTGGACATAACTGTGTTCCACGGTCAACCTGCCTTCTGAAGTGGTACATTCTCATTCCCATAAAAGAAAAGAATTTAGCTTTTACCATAAAGCATATTGTTTTCCTTGAACAAAAAATTGCAAACAGAAATGTTCCATCATGGGTTATTTTGGAATTGTCATATTTAGTCCTCAGAAATTGGAGGATGTTAAGTTTGGGTTTTTTTAAGTACAGAACCCTCCCATCTCTACTACAGTAGCTACTAGAACTCATCTGAGAAGTTGCATTGTAAGTATTCATTGTGGAAAAAGTATGATGACAACTTTTGTTAAAATATCTTCTGATCTCCAAATATGTGCTGATATCTTATGTACCTCAGAGTCCCTTCTAGCACTGTCATAGCATGTTCTTACAAAACAACTAGCATGTAAATAGGCTGCCTCCTTAATCTTTTCCTGCAGGCTAACATTTTATGTGTGACTGATTAAATATGCGCCATTCAGTTAGTTTCAATTCTTGGTGATCACATAATTTTTTTCCATATTGCTTTGTTCCTAACCTAGTTCTTCAGGTTTTCCAGCAGTGCATTCACTGTCACTGTAACTAAGTGGACCTTACTGCTGGTTGTCTTTTTCTCTGACCTATATTTCCGAGCATTGGAACCTTATCCAGGGTTAGGTTTTTGCATAATTTGTCCAAACTAGAATTATTTGATTGTGATTCAAATGAGAACGCTGGGTTGATTTATTCAGTGATCCATTGGTTTTTAGGCTATCTATGGTATTCTCAGACATCATCTCCAACATCAAACTTTGAAAGTGTCAATGTTTTTTTTATCCTTCTTCAAGGATCCGCTTTATCTTCCCTAGAGTCACAGGGAATAGCATTGCTGCACTATTCTGTAGGTATTGATACATCCCAGCATCTGAATATCTTTTTCAACGTTTTCAAGCCTATAATCCATTTATTTACTGCTTTTTATTTTTGATGGCTGATCCTAAAAGGCAAACAATATCTTCATTAACTCAGTCAATTCTCTGGTTGATTGCTCTATCTGTTGTCATTAGCTTGGTATTTTTTGTATTTTAGTTCCAGATTCTTACTGTGTTCTTTGACCCTTATTACTAGAACTTGTAGATCTTTTGCATGTTTGCTAATCAGAGTAGTGTTATTAGTATAATGGAGGTTATTTGTCTCTCCCTCCAGTGTTAAAAACATGTTATTTTCCAATCCGGCTTCCCTGAATAAATATTCAGCATGTAGGTGGAATAAATAAGGGGGTAATGTACAGACTTACCTCATTCTTTTGCCAACCTAGAGCCAACCTGTTTCACCATGTTCTGACCGTTTTATGGCTTATTGATCTGTGTACAGGTTTCTCAGGACAATGAAATGTTCTGGGTTTCCTATTTTTCTAAGCACATTCCATAGCTTGGCAATATCAACAGAATCAATGGCCTTTCTTTAATCAGTGGAAATACATACCAATTGCTTTTCAGTATGCTTTCCTTTCTCAATTATGCAGAGTGCATGAAGAATAATGTCTTGTGTTCTTTGGCCTTTTCTAAAGCCAGCTTGAACATCTGGCATCTATTTTTCTATGTAGAGCTCTAATCTATTTTGGATGTTCCTAAGTGTTATTTCTCTAGTATATGAAATTAAAGGACATTGTATAACAATTGCATACTGTTAAATGCCTTTTATTTGCTATTGGAATGTAAATTTACCACTTTCAATCTCCTGGACATTATGTTGGTATTCAGATATGCTGGCATAGGTTCAGGACTTTTATTCTTTTCTGGTTACTTACTTCCCATATTTCTGTCACCATTTCATGTAAACACAACCCTATTCTCTCTTCAAAGAATAAATACCCTCACAATTTTACAGTCAGCCTTTGTTCTTTTCTTAATAGTGGTAAAGAGATAGATAAATTTGTGAAGTGACTATGGTAAAGTCCTATTAATGTGATGTGCAAAAATGCAGATGTCTTTCATTTAGGGATGGAAGATACCCATTTATCTTTGGAATACAGTTTGATTGTCCTCTGACATGATTAACTATCCCATAATGCAATTGCACCTATACTGCAACACATCATACGTTAATTGGATATTTGCTGATCCTTTAATTTTTCCACATACAGAACGGGATGAGGATGAGTTGCTGTATGATGTTTTGAGAATGATGATTATAAAATTAGTGAATTGATAAATGTTCTGTTCTACATACTGATACCCTTATATCAAGTGTTTCCATGGCAAAACTATTGATTACTTTCTGAAGAGTAGTATATAAGGTTGACATACCACTATATATGAGTTGTCAATTCAATTGTTTTTAACTAGTATTCTTGGAAAAACCTTCAGGATGATGTAGAAAGACAAAATGAATAAACAGAGAGGCTAGAATCTTAAATAATAGGCATTTCAGGTGGCAACATTTTTTGCTGATTCCATATAGGGTACCATTCTCTCTGATGAAAGGTCACATCATGCATCTGGTTGAATGATTATTCCCTGATTTAATTTGGTCTAGAATGAAGAGAGAAAAAAACAATGGAGCCAGAAGTGTAAAATAGTTTATAAAAGTTCCAAACAGAACCAAGTCTCTTAAGAGAAATTTACAGTACATTGGTTTAAAGTATTGTGGGAGAAAAATGTTGTAAAATGAATTGTTACCTACTCCCCAAAAAGGCTAATTCTACTGTGGCTTTGGAAAAGTGTTGCTTTGCATGTCCTGGAGGCAGAAGATGCTACCTTTAGCTAAAATCTAATCTAGCTTGGAAAAAAGCTGCAAGCTGCAAGTGGAAAATATTTGCATAGCATTTTCCTATACTTGGAGAAAGATCAAAGTACTCAATAATAGCCTCCTTTAAAAAAAAAAAGTGCTGTTGGTGCCCACCATATACTTTGGATTTGAACTTCCATAAGGCTAAAGTCCACATCTGGAAGGCATTGTGTTGAAGAAAACCACCACATTAATAAAAAGATTTGATCCTTTATTCAAGGAAAGAACTCTGTAGCCTTTAAGGAATCTAAATTACATGTTTAATTACCAGGGCTGTTTTGCTTAAGGGGGAGATGAAAAAAGGAGAGTAAAACTGTCTCCTTTCTTATCCTTTTTTTAATATAAGATAATCGTTTTTATTGTGATGGATTTTGCATCAATGTAGCCCTTCTTGGATTATGCCATTTTATATGGTGCTTGGCAGTGATAAGATTGTCCATCAAAATCTCCCTTATTATGCAAAATCTCCCTGTCAGGCTAGTTTCCTATAGTATAGTTAGAGAGAAAAGAAACATTGTAATTTCAGACTAGTCTATTCTAGGCACTACTTGGATTCCAGAATGATTAATAGTTTTATTGGAGAAAGCTTGGCTACAAAGAAGCAAATGACGCTTGAGCTTTGATCACAGAATTATTTTCCTTTTTCAAAAAAGGGTAAACTGAGGCCAGTTACCAAATATTAAGCGAAACAAAACCTTACCAGTACAGGCCAGAAAGAGTTGATATTTCTTTGCAGTGTATGTAAAATCATTCCTACGCTAGTTTTTTTGAAACCTGCCATTGATGTTGCTAAATTGAAGGTAAGGGAGAGAAAACCTCCCTGTGTAAAATGCCAGCCTAGCCTGCAAAAAGGACATAACATAAGTCAGTATTTAGTGCAATACAACAGGAGCAGCAGTGGCCAAGTATCTCTCAGCTCCTCAGTTTTAGGCAGCAGTTCCCTGGCACAAAGGAGCAGGGGATATGTTCTATAACAAAAGGGTTAGGAGCAAAAAATGTTCAACAAGTTGCAGCTTTGGTGTAAAGTTTGCTGGTGAAAATGGTGCAAATGCAGGCTTTGCTGGTGGTTCGAGTATTCAGTCAGTGACCTCACTGTAATAATACTTCTGGGCTGCTTCTGTCATTTTCCAATCAGTGGCCCGGAACTCAATGATCTCCAGGAGTAGCAATTGGGACAGGGAGCTGAGACCCTCCTGCAGAAGGAATCCATCACGCAGAAGGGAAAAGAGCTCATCCATCCTCTGACTGTTCATCTTTTCAAGCTGCTCACCAATGCGGTGCAGCTGCAGGACCAGGCAATCCACCTTAAGGCAAGAAATCAACAAATATCTTGAAGGATTGAGAGCATTACCACATATGTCCTTGAGGATTCTCTTCCAGTGTTACCACCCACCAAAACAACAACAACCCACAATTCAAGGCCTACATCAGCTGTCCTCAAGCTATAAGGCCATCTAGATATGGCCATTCTGGCCAGGGATTATGACAGTGATGACGAACCTTTTAGAGACCGAGTGCCCAAAAACTGGTCCCGCCCTGCTCCACCCCCTGCCCCGCCCCGCCCCCACTCCACCCCCACCCCGTCCCCCGCCCCACCTGCCCACAAGGCCACTCACCGCCTCCAGGGCCCACCGCAGATCACCCAGGCAGCCCAGCAACGCTATGGTGGTCATGCCCTGTCCCCGTGCCCCGCAGTATCAACTGTGTGCGATGGGGCGTGAGGGCAGAGTCTTGTCTACGCTGCCTGGCTGCCATGTCCTTGGCTGTGCTGCTCCATGTGGGCCATGCTCAGGGGCGACTCTCCTCCAGGGGGGCTGCTGGTGAGGAGGGGTCATGGGGGGAGGCGAGGCTGGGGCAACAGCACGTGTGTCCACAGAGAGGGCTCCGAGTGCCGCCTCTGGCACCCGTGCCATAGGTTCGCTACCACTGGATTATGACAACTGTTCCTTTTCCAGGTGCACACAGGAATAGTTTTATACTTAAAAATGTGCACTTCTAATCTTATTCTTATTAAACAACAGCCATTCTCATTCCTTCTTGGGATTCTGAATGGTTCAATAACTTTTTCAGTACTCTCTTGTTTGTTCCCACCCATTTATCCATTTGTCGCTTCCACCGTGTTGCATATATATATAAAACATATTTTACAATTTCGTCTGATTCTTTCATTAGTACAATTCATTGGAATGTAACATGCATCTTAAACTAACCAATTGATCTCTACTTTCATATGTACCCACAACAATGTAGATGACACCAATTCATACTTTCTAACATACACTGTAACCTTACCCCTTCACTTCCTTGCATGTATTCCCCAACTCCACTCCATAAGACAAGACTGTCTTCATTCAAATCTATTCCACCTTTCCCCATTCTTTTAATTATTCACCAGAACTGTGATTTAACCGAATCCATGTTATCCACACTTTGTTCCAAGAGAACTCACTTCTTCCTCTTTCTGCAGACTATCAGGCTGTGCCAATCGGAAGAGGCAGTCATAAACAGGATTCACCAATGCCATCATGGGCATATTGTTGACCTGTTAACAGATTGTGGACTTGTCATATTCATAAGCATTTTGGAATGTTTAATCCCCATCTCCAACTTTCAACTTCTTATCACCACTGGGAGATTTTAAAAAATTAAGCAACTGTATTAAGTAACTAAAAGCTCATGGTATTTTTCACTTATTTAGATGTTACACCTCAGAGTGACCTCCAGAATTTATTGCCCTCCAGTGTGTGAAGTTACACTTTACACTTACTTTCCAGCAAGCACAACTGCTGGATGATGTGCTTTGTAGTCAACACATATGTGGGATCAGGTTGAGGAACATTGCACTCAAATTTTTAGTGGAGTCCTGTGATCTCCTGGCCGTCTCAAGTGGGGTGAGTGGGCTTCTTAAGCACAGCAGTCCATTTGAAGAATGCTTGCCATTCAGAGATTCATTTTGTGCCTCTCATCTACCGTATTAACAATGCAATGCAAAGATTGCTTGTTGACTTTTTCAAGGTTTATTAATGCAATTTTAGTCTTCATGACTATTCTAATTTATCACTTCTTTTTTCCTTATTGCTTGTATTTTTATTCCAAGCTGTATCCCTTGAATACCTCAAGGTCCATTAGTCAAAATGCAGCCATTTTGCAAAAGCATCAGAGACAAACTATCAATGTCAAAAGCACAATGGGTTGGGAATTCTTGTTAGACAATAATTTTTTGGAAATAAGATCAGGATTGCTACGTATCTTACATAGGATTACTCTTTCTGTTAAACCACCTGAGAATACAGATAGTCTTTGATTTATGACAGGTTATTCAACAACCATTCAAAGTTACAATAGACCTCCCAGAGTTACTTACAACCCATTTTTGACGTTACGATGACTGCACACCCAGTTATATGATCACCTTTTTGGCGCTTGGCAACCAGCTTATCTTTATCACTGCAGTGTCCTGCAGTCATGCGACCACAATTTGTGATTTTTTTTTTGCCAGTTTCCAGTGTTTATTTCCAATTTCCAGGAAAAAAAAAATCACCCATTGGGGAAAATGGATTTGCTTAACAACTGTGGTGTTTGTTTAATGACCAGAACAAACAGTGTAAAAAAATATATATCTGGTCTGGTCACAGGATGCCTTGACTTCTGATTGCAATGACTTATGACTAAAATTCTGAGCTCAGTTATGGTCATAGGTTGTGCACTACTGTAAACTGAAGTTACTTAAAATACGTTTTGGGAAAAAGAGAGACATGAGCCAATACCAGGCCAACTCTGAATGTTGATCTGAGGCGTTTGGATGTCAATAGGGTCCCCTTACCCTCAGGTAGTCAAAGATGTTACAGATAAAAGTGACATAGCAGATCCAGGCTTGGAGGGAATGGGCTCGCAATTCATCACGGTCCTTATATTCTTGCTGCAGTCGGTTGAGAAGGCACCGCCGGAAGACACTTTGGCCTGTTTGTTTGTTTTCCACCTGTGATAAACATCAAGTGCTATATAAGCTGTATGAAATCAAAATATACTGCAGTCCATGTTCCCTTTATATTGCTCTCATGTATAGTTTCGCAGCAGCTGTTGCACAGCACTCTGACCCAGACAGCAAGTGAACACAAACAGAGACCAGGGAAGGGGTAAGTCGGGAAAGGGATGCTGAAGGGAACTAGTGATCCCCAGCTGTCAAAAGAGAGTGACATGCACCAGACATATATCCATTCCTATTGGAGCTACAGAGAAGAGCAACAAAGATGATTAGGGGACTGGAGGCTAAAGCATATAAGGAAAGGCTGCTGGAATTGGGTATGTCTAGTTTAATGAAGAGAAGGACGAGGGGGGACATGATAGCAGTGTTCCAATATCTCAGGGGCTGCCACAAAGAAGAGGGAGTCAAGCTATTCTCCAAGGCGCCTGAAGGCAGGACAAGAAGCAACGGGTGGAAACTAATCAAGGAGAGAAGCAACTTAGAACTAAGGAGAAACTTCCTGACAGTTAGAACAATTAACCAGTGGAACAACCTGCCTCCAGAAGCAGTGAATGCTCCAACACTGGAAGTTTTTAAGAAGAGACTGGACAGCCATTTGTCTGAAATGGTATAGGGTTTCCTGCCTGAGCATGGGGTTGGACTAGATGACCTCCAAGGTCCCTTCCAACTTTATTATTATTATTATTATAAATTTGAAAGCACCCGATGTGTACAATTGGGGCTTCTGAAGTTTTTCTCTTTGATTTGCATGGACTATCTTCCAGCTCAGCAAGTCCAGGCCTAGAGGAAGAATCCAGTATTTTTCCTTTGCCTGTAACTCATGAAATTAGAAGACCGGAAAGGAAGAACTGGGTTAAAGTTACTCCAGCAAAATTTCCTATAAACTGCCTTCCAGCCAATAGATACCATGTCTTGCACATCTGCTTCCTGTCTTGGTGGTAGCACAGGTTTACCTAGCCTGGTAACGAAACATTCAGAAACCAACCCACAAGTTCAGAGAACGAACCTTCCCCCTCACAGGATTTTATCTCATAGGCATCTGCACGGTGGTGAGGAGAAGCAAGCAACAAAACACATGTTGTGGTATTGTAATACAACCTTGTCCCATATACTTGAATACACTAGAAATCTGTCCAACATTTGCTATTTTGGTGCAACTAGGCTTGGAAAGGAGATCTGTGCTCTACATCCATTTCTCTCTCATGCCCACATTGTTCAAACCCCACCCCATAGGAAGACAAAACATACATAATGAAGCAGGAGCCTCTAGGGGCACAAAATGTAGAGGGAGGCAAAACTTAAATGGGTTATTTAGTGAGTTTTGCTCACCAAGTCAGGGGCTGTAGTTGAAGGGATAGATTCAGCTTCTATCCTCTCCTCTGGGCTGGGATGCCAAACATGTTCTGCAGCTCAGGCCAAGCCAAGCTCCATCTGTGGAAAGGAAGCATGGCTGCTGAAAGATATGCATGCCCAGAACCCTGCTTTAATGCAACCTACAGGCTCCTTTATATGTAATTAACTAATTACACTGTGTGGTGTTATATTATTATAGTATATTATGCACACAGCATATTACATGCAATATGAGGGGAGTATAGCAATATTGTCTTATATTACATTATACAAGCCTACCTCAAATTAGAAATGGGGACATCATCCCACACCGTTCACAGGCCTGAAACAATGCTGAGTATCAACAAACAGAATCCAAGGTATACCGTAGTTGAAAGTGGAAAATGGCGTTAAACATTTTACTAATTCTCGGTCTCTCTCACCTGAGTGATGGCATAACAGATGCGCCCGGCCTCTTTACTGAACACACAATCTTTTAAGGACTGGTCCACAATTATATTGGCCACTTTCTCCAGATGAACGCTGCTGGGATCTATAGAACAAGAGGCAACACTCAATTCTAGATTGAAAGAAATGTAAATCTAAATTTGACAGACATCACATCGGTGGTTCCACATCAAGCACCATTCCAAGCGAACTTGGGGACATGTACCAAAAAATTTTGCGGGCAAAAATAGCAACTGGGATATGCCAGTTTTTCTTACTTGCATGCCCTATAAGAGTGCTGAACCACACAGTGGCCAATGGCTCAATAAAATAAATGCCAGTGTATTTTGGATTAGATTATTCAACAACTGGGATGCAACTGCAGAAAAAGTCTTATGTATGCATGTTCTCCCCTTAGCTCTTGAAGAAAGGGCCTCTGGAGCAGAGTTTAAGGAATCAGAAGAATTCCAGGGCAGCAGGCAATCTCTTCATTTGTCTATAAATTTTGAAGATTGTGTGTTTGAGGGCCAAGGAAGAAATGGAAAGGCAAAGTGGGGGGGGGGGGGGGAGAAGAAAGAGCTTCTAACCTTTGAGTGCTGTTTTCAGTAACTGCTGAACCTCTGAATCAAATGAATATATTTTATAGTCCTCCTTGCTGGTCTCCTCCATTCCTTTCCCTCTTTCAAGTGCTATTAGTTCAGGGAAGCTGCTGAGTTCACAGGACCTGTGGAGAGAGGAGAGATCACAAACAGCTCCTTTGAACCAGGGGTAGATGGTGCATTGGTTCTTGCCTAGGTGAGGCTCTAGGGCCCGTGCAAAGAGAAAAACTATACTACTGGAGTTGATAAAAGGCAATAAAACCCTGAAAATAAAACAAACCTGGGGAGATTCTCTTCCAACACCGGCAGATTGTATCCCAATTGAATGACTGCTGTTCCTGCAAAGCTATCTCTCCTTTTTCTGTTATTTGAAAGTAAAGTGCTTTACTGTGCAAAACAATCGAACAACATTGGCTCCCTTACTCCGGTAAGCCAAATGCAGAATTTCTGAATCCAGGGCCGACCGAGCACACTGCTCACTCATCAAAATTCCTCAGTTTTCAGTCAGTCAGGCAAAAGCGAGTTGACAAGGCAAGACAGGAATCCATGGAAAACATTTTGAAGATCTGGAATCTACTCAAAGAGTAGAGATTGGAAGGTATGTTCAAAGAAGAGCAGTTGTGTTAATATTCTATTAACTTCCCAATTAACATCAGGCGTTGGGAGACTTTGAGTGTTCTTCTTGGTCCCTACACGTCTAAGCCCCTAGTTACAGTATCTCTGTTTCACATTCCTTGTTCAATTTCATCTGTTCATTTGCTCACATTTCCACCCCAAATGTTAACCATTCTTTGTAAAGTACCATTTCCTGAAATGGCTCCCCTTTTTTCCATCCATCAGTATGTTCCCTTGTCTTGAATTCTTCTCCCGTAACTTATTAAAACCCTTGCTTGTATCTCTTCTGCTACCTAACCGCTGCCTTTCCCATTTAACATTTTTTGAGTTAGGCTATGACATCAGGATTTCCCAATCCTTCTGGGATCATGACTCCCTAAAACAATAAATGAATCTGTGTAATCCTTCAGAAGTTGCAAAATTGCAATTATCAGCAGCTCCAGCCTGTCTGGCTAAGAGGGAGGAACGCTGGGCTCAGCACCCTCAAAAAGCTGACAGGGAATCTACTACGGCTAGACCATATTTCAGTGGCTCTCAACCTTTTTAATGCCGCGAGCCCCAACCGGTCGTAAGTCGAGGACTAAACCGGTCGTAAGTCGAGGACTAAACCGGTCGTAAGTCAAGGACTACCCAACTGGTCGTAAGTCGAGGACTTTCCCTGCCCGGAAGCGCTGCGCATGCGTGGTTCCGCCCCCTGCGCCGGCTGAGGCGTAGCTGGCAAGCGGCAGAGACGGAGCAGGCCGACCACCAGCTGGCCCAGCCCAAGGGAGGTAAGGTACCCCCCGGAAAAGGGGAAAAAAATGGCGCACAGCCTTGCTTGGCGACCCCCGTGAAATGGTCGATCAACCCCAAATGGGGTCGCGACCCATAGGTTGAGAACCACTGCCATATTTCAAAGGGAAATTTCCATTTCCAAAAATATACTTATTTCCACCACTATCACATTAATTGAACATCTACATCTCTTTCTACTAAAGACAAAAGTGGAACTGGAGGATGCCTTGCCTTGCCCTGCCCTGCCCTGCCTCATGACTTTTTCCAATTGGGCCAAGGGAAGAGAGGAAAATGAAAGAAGAAAGATGAGCCCCAGTACTGTATTTCCTCCTCTTCATACTTATAACTCTGATCACCCCTTGCCCACCAAGCCCCCAAGTATTCTTCAAGGGAACAAAGCACTGGGAGAAAGTTAACCCTGCCATCTGCTGGAGATAGGGTGATATGTGCAAAGCTGGAAGCCTTTCAGATCACATCTCTATTCTGTCTGGAGAAGCATTTTCTTGTGAAAGTGTAAAAAAGACAAGGCAATCTCCCATAGATTCGCCCAGAGGTTCACAGCTCATAGTCTGAGATGCTTTGCTTGATCACTCTTGATTTGCAGTAATGCAGTAAGAAAATCTTACAAGAGGTTTGCTCAGAAAAATAAGGAGATGCTTTAGCACAGGAGGACACACACCACACTAAGTCATAATGCTGGCTGTGGAATTCTGGGAGTTGAAGTCCACATGCCTTAAAATTGTCAAGGTTGAGAAACACTGTAATAAAGATTGTAAATTTACAGTGAGTAAATCATGCAGCTGATTTTTGGTGTCATGAACTATAGAAATAATGCCACTTTTTTTTTTTTACTTTGTGGAAGGCAATCAGTCTCTCACAGGAGTCTGCTGCTCTACTGTGGTCTCTTTATGGAAAAACAGAGTTTAGGTGTGTAGAATCTAGTGTGACACCTAGCTGTTGGGTGTTTTGCTTGACTAAAAAGGCAAGCTATCAATCAAATAAAAGATAAAATAAAAAGCTTACCAGTGCAAAATGAGGGAACTGGCCAGAGGTAGAACAGCCTTCATGTACAGTCACACAACATGCATTGCCATGAACTTACTAAGGGTATGACAACTCCCTTTTTAGGACAAATGCTGTCACTAAACAGCAATGTTATTAATGGGAGAGCACAGCCAGCATTGTTACCGCACGGAGAGTTCCCAACTGATAAGTCAGTTTCAACACATACCAGAGCAGTCATAGCAACCTTTCTCCTGTGCAGGGCATGTGATCTCTAGTTAGGTTTTAAGATCAATTACTTCTCTGCATAGTCAGCAGTCACTATGGTCAAAGGTCACCCTGTGATTACTCTGACATGTATAGAAACTGTTTTCCCTGCCTTCTGGCTAGAATCTGGAAGCCTGCTAACTTCAATCCAAATTGTATAGGGGGCTGATCTGTTCATGCTAGGGGCACAGCATTGATTTCACATGCAAGGACAGCCCCTAGCATCTATAGCTTAAAAGGATTTTGACCTACAATGAGCAAAAGGGGTTCTCATGTTAGAGAGGCACTGCCAGCAGAAACTACACTGGGCTAGATGGAACCCTGACTAACCTTAGTATAAGGCACTTTAATGTGTTTATACAGAATCTCAGCAAAGGTCCTAATGACAGCTAGCCTAGGTCAAGATGACAGCTGACCAGAAAGTTGCTTTCTGGGCTTATGATTGTGACCCTGAGATAACATGAGACCATATAAAAGTACTTAAGAACTTTTTCAGAATTTCTGCAGGAGATTCCTCTGACAAGCAGCCAATCACTTAGAGTATACTTGGCCAAATTCCTAAGCTGAACATACTTGTGTGTGCACCCAATTCCTACAAGTTCTTCATTCTTTTCAAGTGATCAAATGCATAAACAAATGAGCTGGATTACTGCCCAAATATGTGTTCCCACAACTTATAGCTGCCTAAAATGGTTATCTGACCTTGTTTATAATTACAATTACTTCATCTGGCTGATCCCAAGTGTCTTACAAAAGCAAACACATATAAGCGCGTCATCCACAAAAGATAACCCGTTTAAAAGAAAGAGAGACAGTCATCCAAAACCAATACTCATCACTCATCCCAGGTACAATGGTTGGGTCCCAAATTACTCTTTGAAAAAGACAGGTCTTGACTAACTTTCCAAACATCATACACCAGGACATAGATCATACTTCTGAAGGTAAGTTGTACCACAGGGATGGAGAAAGTTTGCCACCAAATCTTCTCTAGTTGTACCTCATGAGTAAAGAAGTTCTCAATCAGCACACCCTGCCAGCATGTCTTAGGCCAGCAGATTCTTTCTGGGATAAGCAGTCTAAAATAGGGGTTCCCAACCCCCAGTCTGTGGATCAGGCATGCCAGAAATTGGGCCATGCAAACAAGCAAAGCCCCATCCACGGGATGCAGGCAGCACACAAAACCACACCCCCTCCAGTCCCCAGAAAAACCTCTCTTTAGAGAACCGGTCCCAGGTGCCCAAAAGATTGGGGGCTGCTGGTCTAGAGGCTGTAACCTATTTCAAGAATGGCCAAAAGCTCTCAGGGCCACAGTTCTCACTACCTGTTCCACAGCAGCTATGAATTCAGGGCTCTCATATTATGAATGAGCTCTTTTGGGGGGAACACAATGCCACACAGAGCTACAGTTGCTTGATGACCAACTTCTGGAGCATCAACCCTCCAAAGATCAGACTAGCCCCAACCCCGCTAAAGGCTTGAAGATGAATGCTCCAACACTGGACGTTTTTAAGAAGAGACTGGACAGCCATTTGTCCAAAATGGTATAGGGTTACCTGCCTGAGCAGGAGGTTGGACTTATGACCTCCAAGGTCCCTTCCAACTTTATTATTATTATTATTATTATTATTATTATTATTATTATTATTATTATTATTATTATTATTATTATTATTATTATTATTATTATTATTATTATTATTATTATTATCTTATTTTGTGCCTGCGTCCTTGATGTGTTAATAGATGTCTTTTCAGGATTTTCCCCACTGTGTGTTTTATGTATATATTTTTACTCATTTAATATTGTAAGTCACCTGGAGTCATGTATTTGAGATAAGTGTCTACACAGATTAAATAAACAACAATGTTGCTTCTATTCCAACTCCTGAAAACAACTTTTTTGGGGAAAAAGACACCAAAAGGCAACCATTTCAATACTGTTGCCTAGGATGTGACACTGAAGTGTTCACCAAGTCCCTGGGAGTGGAGCAAAACCAGAGAGACTCTTCATTCCTCTTTTAAACCTACCTATAAAAACACTGACTGATACAGTCCAACAAATTAACCACAAAGACTTTTGAGTGTGGGCGGATGGCTCTACAGCTACTCCTAACTTATAACAGTTCATTTAGTGACCTATTCAAAGTTACAACAGCACTGAAAAAAGTGACTTATGACCATTTCTCACACGAACATTGAAGCATCTCCATGGTCACATGATCAAAAATTAAATTGCTTGGCCACCTATTCATATTTATGATGGTTGCAGTAGCCCGGGGTCACATGATCCGCTTTTGAGATCTTCTGACAAGCAAAGTCAATGGGGAAACCAGATTCACTTAACAACCGTGTTACTAACTTAACAACTGCAGCGATTCGTTTAACAAGTGGGGCAAGAAAGGTGGTAAAATGGGGCAAAATGTCACTTAGCAACAGAAATGTTGGGCTCAATTGTGGTCGTAAGTCAAGGACTACCTGTACTTTAAAAATCAGCTTTTCAACAGGGAAGCCAACTTATCAAGGGGGAGGAAAGACCCACCACCTCAAAAAGACCCGCACCCCGAGTTTCTCAGGCAGGTCCGAGAAAGCGAGAAGGAGAAGTTGGACGGACACCCACCTGCTCTCTCGCCTTCTACACCTCCGCTGTCAGCGGGGACGCGCTGGCATCTTGACGCTGGGAAAACGCGCCCCCGGGGCCCCTAATACTTTTTGGGGTCTGGCTCGGGTCGCTGGAGGTATATCAGAAAAAAGCCCACCGCCAAAAAGAGCAGCAGCAGCAGCAAGAAAGGCAGCAGCTCAAGCATGGAGTGCAAGTGCAGGATGGGCATCCTTTGGCTATTGGCCCCGGCGGCCCCCGCCACCGGCAGAAGCGCCCAGCTGGCCCCGAGCAGCCGTGCCGCGCACGCGCGCGCCCCTCCGGCAAGGCAGAGGCCGCTCTCGCCCTTCACTCACTTTGGGCTCCGACGGCAACTCCTGAAACTCAGTTGCTGAGCGGGGGTGCGCTTTCCTTCCCCCCCCTCCCCCTTGTTTACACAGCCAGAGGTTTCCTCCTAGGTCATTTCCTTGCCAAGGTGCGTGGAAGACGGGAGAGAGAGAGAGAGAGAGAGAGAGAGAGAGTGACAGTGTACCTGCAGCAGCGCCTCCTGCTGGCAAACGAAGGTACCCTCCTTTAAACCAAGATTCTGAAGAGGCTTGCAAGAGTTAACCTCTCGGATGAAGGCAAAACAAGTCCCAGGAGGATAATGTTGCAGGGTCCAATCTGGGTCGGTCACTGGGACCAGAGGGCTCCAGGATGAGCTCCAGCATGAGTCCGAAGGCTCGGAAGCCTAACTATCTGGTCCCGGTGACCGATCCAGAGTGGATCCTGCAAGAATTAACCTGTTTGGTTGCCTTTCCATACTAGAATCTGAGATCCAACAGCTAAAGCAGGGGTAGTCAACCTTGGCTCTTTTATGACTCGTGGACTTCAACTGCCAGAATTCCTGAGCCAGCCATGCTGGCTCAGGAATTCTGGGAGTTGAAGTCCACGAGTCATAAAAGAGCCAAGGTTGACTACCCCTGAGCTAAAGCCTGAATTGGAAATAAGAAACACCAGTTAAACACGCAGTCAGAGACAAAATAAGTAATTGGTCCGGCAGCTAATTACTGATGTCTCATGAATGATATACCTTAACTGAAATAATTACTGGCACAGATTAGCAATATGTAGACTTTATTCAACTCCCATAAATTCAAACGAACATAGATAGTTCTGAGGATTAATGAGAGTTGTAAAACATGGAGAAATTCTGACAAAATCCAGGAATCAGAGATCACCATAATTAAAATTAAGTATAAGTGGGTTGATTACTAATCTCTCATAATATATAAAACCATATGCTTAATATGACATATATATTGCATCCATCAAATTCCTTTATGGTTTGTATCTCTCTCTCTCTCTCTCTCTCTACACACACACACGTGTGTGCAGAAATATTATCCTGGGCATATTCATTATATACACCATACTTTCAAAGTCTTTTTTAAAATCTCATGTGTCACCACATCACTAATGCTACTGCTGCATACGCAGAGGTCAGGGACTACATTACATTACCTGAATTTAGAAGTAACGCTACATTATACCAGTCATTGGACATCAGAATTCCTTTTCTATGGAGATGATGTCCCATTTAAGGAATGTTCTGCAAAAGGAGAAATCAGAAATGGGACAGACAGGGTTTCCACAAGCAGGTGGAATATGCCTGCTCTGCGCAATTGTACTGGTTGAGCTGAAACTATGGAAGAGAGAAAGTCTTTTAGATAACCAGGTCACGAAGGCTTTATAAGTAATAACCAACACCTTGAATTGCCTCTGAAAACCTGCCAATAATCAGTGCAGCTCATAGGGCAAAGGTACTACATGAGCAACATGTGGCATGCCCCTAATTGCCTGTGTCACTGCATTCATATCCAGCTGTAGTTGAATGGCAGCTCCATGTACATCACATTGCAGTAGCCCAGGCATAAGGTGACTAAAGCACGAGTGGCGTCTAAAAAAGAGGGGTACAATTGGAACATAGATTGGATTTGTGTGAAGATTTTTCAGTGGGACCTGTTTCTTGAGCAGAAGCTGTGCGTTCATGAAGAACCCCCCCAGCTGTGCACAAGTCCTGAACGAGCAAGTGCAACCCAGTTCAGGACTAAGGATAAGATATCCCTGTCTCTGGAGGAGGGACACAATAACACATAGCCACAGTCTTATGAACGGTGAACTTGGCTTCTTCCTCCCTCCAGATTTCCATCACCTACAGGCACTCAAACGAGACCTTTTTATTTGTGACAGACTCCCAAATACAATAACCAGACATTAAGGGTACCGTTTATAAAAAGCACTAACAAAGCCTTTCAGCTGCCTTTCCCAAGTCCTTCCTAGGTACTGCATGGATGCAGTAAAATGAAAAGGGATGTTTACATGCTGTTCCTCCATTGGATTCTCAGAAGAAAAGACTGGCGATTGCAAAAAGAAAAAAATAATCCACAAATTTATGATAAATATATTTATATATTTATTTTTCTTTCACGATAGACACATGTTCTGTGGAAAACGGTGGTCCAAACTGTCTCAACTACAAAAAATAAATCTTTATATGAAAAATACAGATACAGTGTTATAGATTAAGCATTCATGTCAAACAGAGGGAGTGAACAAAAATCTCAGTAATGGAATCTGAAACCTTGCACAACCCTAGATGTCAACAAAGATCATTTAGATTACAGTACTAGGAGTACAAGTGTATCGGAGTTCTCATTGGCATAGATGCCCAGCTAATAACCATCAACGATTTTGGAGGTGTAGGGAGAGATTGCTGACCTGGTGTTATGCCATCTTGTAAACACTGAAGTATTAAAGTATACACTGATTTTGGCACTGTCATAAGGCACAATATCTTAAAATTAACATATTTGAGGAAACAGAGGAGGTGCTAAAGGCTAGAGGAGAACTGAAAGATAAGTGACCTAGCTTATATTTGGAGACTACAAATGTCAAGTGTTCCTTCTCTGATGTGATTTCATGCTTGCATTTTAAGCTTGCTAGTTTGTATGCTTAAAAAGAGTGTAATTCGGATAGAAAGGCAGGTTTCATGAGCTAATGCCTCTTTTGTATAGGTGGGAAAAGACACAAGAGCCCTCGAGGGCAGGGTGATTGTGGAACCCCCTTTAGTTATGGTTGGTTCTTAATTGGTGTTCTGTTCTTCTAGTCCAGTTCTCAACCTTGACAAATTTAAGATGGGCGGACTTCAACTCCCATAATTCCTCAGCCAGTATGCTGGGGGAGGGGTGCAATTCTGGCAATATGCTGGCTGGGGGATTATGGGAGTTGAAGTCCACTCATTTTAAAGTTGTCAAGGTTGAAAAACAGTGGTCTTATTCATATTTATTGTTTTTTAATCTGTAATCTATCCAGAGTCATTAAGGAGACAATGGCCTCAAAATTTGATAAATAAAATAATAAAAAACATTGTGAGTCAAGGACAGTTGTCGGTGCATTTCTGGTGAACCTGCTGTTTGCCTTTTGACAAAGGAGCCTACCCTAAGTGCATTTTAGAAAGACTCTGAATCAGCAATTCCCATCTTAGATAACAAAAGAAAGGCAGGCCTATGAACACTTTGGGAAAAGAACCCACCTGTCCAGAACAAACATTTCATAGAAACACAAGCAACCTTTGTTCTTAGGGTACATAAGGCAAAGATTGCACAAACCAGGGCTCTTCCAATGGTATGTAGTGTAGCTGGAATGTGACTTTCACAGCTCCTACGAAAATAAATACAGATAAGTGTACAAGGAACAACCTGACCCAGTAGGTAAGCAAAAGAAAGTAACTCAAAACTTTCCATTTTGCTGTCTCTGTGCTTCCAAACAGCACGGCTCCAATTCTACCGATCCAGCAGGATTTGATACCAAAAGAATTAAAATTCCATCCTGCCAGTACTGGAAGTTTTATAAAAAGAATTTGCAGATACTGCTGGAAACAAATCTCTTTATTTTTTTAAAACCTTTCTCTTTTCAGTAGCTTTGCTTATGTCTATCAGGTATATAGCAAACTGGAGTGTACTTGTGTATTACCACAGTACCTTCAACTCAGCAGTGTATCTGAATGTGGATTTGCCCTATGCCGAAAGGAAGTCATAGAGTGGAAATCAACTGGATTGTTGTAAGAGGTTTGGTGATTTCCCAGTTCTTCTTTATCTTGTCAGGTTGCAGTCACTGTTTTTCCCAGATACTATGCAAAGGTTATAGAGTACAAAAATATCTAAATAAATAAATATACATTATTTGTATGTTTTTACATTACATTTTACAGAGAAGTGCATAGAAAATGGCCAGGGAACAGAGAATCAACTTCTCCCTGTGTTTGAAACTGGAACTATGACAACTCATATATTTTACATCAGGCAAAAATGAAATAGTACAAGAATATTCAGCTTGTGAGGACAAAGCCCTTAAAGCAAACTTATCAGCCAACTTCTGTGAACTTTTTAATGTAAATACAGAGCAGGTACCAGGAAATTGAGAAATCTATAAATGACTTGGAAAGTAAGACTATTTTAAGGCTGCAATTCTAAATGTACATAGTGGGATTTATTTCTGAGTAAAAATCGACAAGATTGCACCAATCATTTAATTTTCTTTATAGCTTTCATCATATATAAAATGGGCCAAATTCAGCCAAGCAAGTGGTCCTCTTCAACTATTTCCCCCCCCTACTATACTACGTTAAAGAGTTTGCTGTAAAAAAGTATCCATTGTTATTCCAGAGCTTTTTCTTGGGGAAAAAAAAAGCTATCAGAGGATAACATTATTTAAGAAAAATCATTTACAATAATTTAAAAGATGTATCTTCTCACAAAATGAAACTTGAATAATTGTATGGTCAACACTATTTTTTCACTTTGATTCAAAATGGAAAAGTTGGAAAATGGAAACGTTTAAAATGAAAAACTTCTTTAAGAATTTAGATCGAGCATGTGTGTTTAGCATGTGTTTTAGTAAGAAAGGAGAAGTTGATAGCGCAAAAATTTTTTTTACAGGCTTGACCTCTATTTTATAATTTGGAGAAGTGGAAAAAATATACTTATGTATGGGTAGGGCAAGAGGAACCATGAACACTAATGGCCCTGCTAACACAGAATGGAAAGCTATGAAGAGCTTCCTCTGCTTTGTTTAGGATTTTAGGGCAACAGACAATTTTCACAGACTCACTAATGAAACACTGCAAAAATCACAAAACCTGCAAGAAGCTCAGCCAAGAGGCACGAACTGAAATGTGGGACGACCTGGCACCAGTAAAATCCCAGCAGTAGCATTTTTACTGCTTGGGCTGGATGGTCAAGGCAGATAACTGTCTATTAAGTGAATGTCTCATCAACACTACTGAATGCCAGGACCTCCAGCTTATCACAGGGACTTCAAAATGGCCATGCTGGAGGAGTCTGGCCATCCACCGGTCAATATATGGTTCAGTTTTAGAGTACCTAGTTTCCAGAATCACAAAAGGGAATTTTGGTGTGTGAACTGGGGTCTGATTCAAATCGTCTGTTATGAAACAATAGGAAAAGTATACACACCTTTGCAACAAAGATCTTCAGAAGCCTTGATGATGAACTTCATCAAGACTCCCAAATGCTGCAGCTGCAGACTAAAGAGGCAACTGGAGCAGGTGTTGAGGTGAGCCACTGCTCCTGTTTTGAACCAAAGCAATGAGCGATGCGCATCCCAGGCTTGGGCAAAAAGTCACTTATCTCAACTCTCCAATCCCATATGCCCTGCCTCACCCCTCAATCCCCAACGATGATGACCGCAGCTGCCAGAATTATATTTCAAGAACATCCACTGGAGTCAGGCAGCAGCTCTTGTTTACGTTAACCTTCTTGCTTCTTGGAACCATTGGAGTCTTGCATTGTTAGCAGAAGACTGCAAAAGAGCTCATACCAGAAAAAGGTGAAGCCAGTGGAGAAAGCAGCCTTCAACAAGCTTGGGGAGAGGCCCTTGAAGAATCCTCTGGGTCCCTCATCCAAGATTATCTGTCGGGTACAGTCCATGATGCTAGTGTATGTTCGAACCTGCCAGGCACAAGAAGTGAGTGAACAAGAGCAAAGATTCAGGCTGGGTACAAAGTCTTCTCTTCTCGATATAACAGGGCGTTCGATTCAGTCTCATGTAACCGTGGGGAAAAGTCATGGCAAGAAGTGCTATGTTAGTGCTCTCTCACGGAAACCTAATCTGAAGCACTGCATAGCCAGATTATGCATATTGGTCTCCAGACAGAAAATGAGAGAAAAAAAACCCAGGAATAGTATGCTTAAGACCTATGGACTGAGATTTAGAAAACAACCACCACAAACTGGCTAGTTGAACAAAAAAGAAACTCAGGACAAACATTTTTTATTGTGAAAGGGTATATGCTCAATATCTTGAAAGAAGAAGGGTGAATAATGGGTCACTAATTAGAAGTAAATCTAAGTTGTGCCTTATTACATGAACAAGATGTGGGAAGCCTTGAGTTCAGGCGCTCCCACTTCCTCTTTCTCTCTATTTTGCACATTTTAAAGCTACTAGGCACTGTGTATAACAAAGCAATCTGTCAAAACATGGGAAGCTGTGGTTTGCACAAACTGTAGTTTATTCAGCTGCAAGCTGAGCAAAAACACAATGTGATTCACTGCCATCCTTCTGCATGAAACAGGAAAAAGGAGGAGGAGGGAAAGCATCAGCTCCAGATTCCTGTTTAGAAATAGCTGGGGTGGGGAGCAATGGCTCCATTACAAGCAATACATCCAGCATATATTTGGAGGCTACAAGCGTCAAAGCTACAGTTCTCAGTGGTGGCCAGAACATACTTCTAGTAATATCTTCATCAAAGGCAGTGTTTCCCAGCCATGGCAATTTCCAGGTGTGTGGACTTCAACTCCCAGAATCCCACAGCCATACATGGCCATTGAGGAGAATTCTGTGAGTTGAAGTCCACACACCTGGGAATTGGCATGGTTGAAAAAACACTAAAATAAGGGGAGGAGAGCAGGTGTGGTAGAACCCCTCATTTAGATATTGCATAAAAAGGGAGAAAGTCTGGTCGTTCCAGCTGATACACTCCACTGCCTTCATACTGCCTGATATATTTGGCATAGAAAAAGAGAAAGAGAGGAAGGGGAACAAGAAAGATTTCCACAAGCCAAATCCCCTCTCACCTGCCCAAAAGCCGCCCGGGCTTGCTCAAAGCCACCCACTTGCAGTCGCTTCTTGAACAGGTCAAAGGGATATGTCAGGGTTTTGCTGAGGACACCAGCACAGCTTCCACACACTAAGTTTCTAATATTACCTGAAAAACCAAGAGGTTAGAAGGGAAGGGAAGCACTCCATAGCTAACTCTGATCCTACCCTTCAAAACTCTGGACTGGTCAACATAAGAGAGGCATGAATCACGGGGGACAGCTTAGGGACAGACAGCCCTCATGGTATACCGGGAGCTCACCTGCCCCCTTTGCCCTGCCCAGCCCCACCATTGGCACCAACCTTTCTTCATCTCTTCGCTTGGAACAATCCAGTTGTACAACCTCTTCAGGAGACTGTAGAAGGAAAACTGGAAGCCGGCATAAGGAACAATGGCAATGATGGTTGGGCTCAGCCCCCTATAGAAAGTCAGCAGCCCTTCCTTCTGGTACATGCTGACCACAGCGTGGCGGAGGTTCCTGTAAATCTAAAACAATTTAAGAAGGAGCATCTTTCCTTGACCATGATCCAAATTTTGCTCTCAGTATGGAAGTTAGATTTCAGCTATGCTGTCAAAAAGCTCCAACTGTTAAGGGGTGTGGTTCCTGCTAGTTATCCGAACTGGCTATCTCTCTCTCTCTTAATACTTTTTGTCATCACTGTATTATAGATAGTTATATAGCCAATCAGATGTTTAGATTTCTCCACCTATTGAATCCTTCCCAAGGACCTGGGATAGGCAGATGTTGTTGTATGATAGTCTTAAAAGTATTGTTGTTGTTGTTGTTGTTGTTATTATTATTATTATTATTATTATTATTATTATTATTATTATTATTATTATTATTAGTAGTAGTAGTAGTAGTAGTAGTAGTAGTAGTAGTAGTAGTAGTAGTATATATACATGTGAAATCACAGCTACCAGTTCATTAGCTGGTTCTGGCCTTCATACCCATCCAGTTCTTCCCAAGAACAAAGGATATTTTAATGTATTAGCAGATGCCAGCAGTCTGGCTATTATTATTCACTTTTCTGCTCTAATGAGCACTCAAGATGGCTAAGAATTTTTTAAAAAGAATGTAAAACTTTAAAAACACATCACAATAAAATCATTATTTAGAACAATTAACCAGTTAAAAGCTTGATGTGTGTGTGTGTGTGTGTGTGTGTGTGTGTGTGTGTGAGAGAGAGAGAGAGAGAGAGAGAGAGAGAGAGAGAGAGAGAGGAGAGAAGCATCTCTACAGATTTCCTAAAGACTGATCTTAGAGAAGCCCCTCTGCCATGTGCCAGGCATAAATCTTTTGACAGCAGAGGCCCTGTGCCTTTTTGTCATGACCTGACAATCCCCATGCTACCCTTTGCTCCTCCCACATAGTTGCCTTCTCTACAGAGTAATGAAAAGCAAAACGATCTATTATGCAAAGTACACATTTCCACGATGCCTATCTGCATAGTAACATCTAGATTTACACAGCTTATTCTGAATGCATAATAATCTTTCTGCGCAAAAGAAAGGATTTCTGAGCACAGAATTTCAAATTTGCGTTAAGAGAAGCAAAGATTATTCCTACAGGAAACTTAACATCTGAGGGGAAATGTTAACATGTATTTAACTTCTTAACTTAACTTCTTAAGTTAAAACACAGGATTTTCCTGGGTGCACAGTGACAGACTAGGAAAAGGAGCAGCTTCTTTACAGAGCCGCTGACAGATAAAGACAGAGTGACCACCTTGGATCTCAAGCTCTTCTACCACTTTGCCCCCAAATTCTGCAAACTAAAATGGTTGGATTCAAATATATTAAACAAAAATAACTCTGCTTTGGTAAACAAGTCATACTGATTTCATATTCTGTAAACCATGATGTATGGTGGTTGTCTATTTGTCAGGCTGCTTCTCTATCAGGTTTATAGCTTTTCTCAAAATGCAGCAGTTTATCAAAGTATTTTTCTGATTCGTACCTATCACGTGACCCTCACCCTTTGGGACTCCTTTTGGACTATCTCGGCAACCCCAAGCACTCCTCCTAACCTTGCCTGTCAGTTCCCTGACAGATCAACCAAGAATCTTGTGACACCTACAGAAGACAGCCCCTTCTATGAAAGCTTATGCCATAAAAAATGCATTGATCTCTAAGACGCCCTAAAACTCTAAGTAAGCTGGAAACCAGTCAGAATGGTGTCATTTCATTAAATAAATACTGTGGAGGTAAAGTAAGGAACCAAAATATTCTCCAGCTGGCAAGAGCAGAATTAATATGGAAGCACTGGGGGTGCTTTCATTCATCTCTTACCTTCGGCTCTCCTTGGGCAGCCAAGCGAGTCCGCAGCGTGTCAAGAGGCTGAACTGTCACAGTAGCAGCACAAGCAGACAGACCGCCACAGATAAAGTGCACAGTGAAGCCACGAGCATCATAAGATGTGCCATGGTGCACCAGCTTCGTCAGAAATTCGAAGCTGACAAACTTGTAAAAGAAAACCAAAAACAATCAGAGATTTACACATTTGATTTAGGAGAACCACCGATCACACAAGGATATTTTAAAAAAAATAATTTCTGTTAATACATGTGGTCCAGAAATTCAGGTTTTGCGTCTCTGAAGTAATTACCGTAGTTAGGACACTGATTTATCTTTTCACATATTTCATTTACAGTATTTAGGAGGTGGATGTCTCTGGAAGTCTGTAAGTACCAGTAGAGCTGAACAGTTGGCTAATTTATGGCTCAGTAGGCATGGATCCAGTTAATATATTTAATGGTTTAATATGTTACAATAGCTGAAGCCTAATAACTGAGTAAACCCTGCCTCAATTAATATTGAGTTAGCATTCTACATGAACATACCCAACATCTGAGAAAGAATAATTTAGACCGCTCAGAGTTACATCAGTTTACAAACTAGTATTCAAAATAGATTAAATAATCAAAACAAGAAGGGGCAGCTGATGTGCTTCTCATCATTTTGTAAAAATCAACAGAAGAGTGATTTTGAATTTCAGGATCTGAGATGAAAAGTTGTAGTAGGAAAGTGAAATCAGAGAAAGTAGAGCAAAGTGTTTTTGGACTCTATGAAAAGGATTGATAGAGCATAAAAACTAGACAAAAGAAAATAGGGTATTAGTCTTCTGCAAACATGGGGATTCTGAATTCATATTTAAAATTACTTAAATTAACTCATTACCCGAACAGAAAGTACATGAAGAAAAGTTAATATGAAATCCCAAGTATTGCTAAGAACAAATCTTTAGTCCCAGAATCATAATATTCAATGATAACAACTCAATTGTGTCATATTAATTCTAAAAAAAGTAAAATCAGTTTTTGAAAAGAAACATGAGAAGACAGCTAAACAGATTACTCTGAAAGTTAAGAAAAGTAGCAAAAATATTGTTTGGTTCTTACCTGGACAGCCCCATAATTAATGGAAAGAAGTTGAGCAGGGACATGACCTTTCCAAAACGCAGTGACCCCTTCCTCCTGAAAAATCTTACCAGCGGCCTGCCAGATACCGTGATACTTCGCATGTGGATTTTTGGAGGAAAGCTGCTCTATCTGAAGCTGAAAAATGATGGCATGAGTAAACTATATAATACTTATGTGGAAAATTTAAGACTCCAAAATGTCTTAGGGCCATGATATTTATCATCAGAAAGAGTGTCTTAGGCTATTGCCTGATATACACTTGCTTACCTGGGAATAATCACTATTTGCCCTGGCAGGAAATATATAAATACAGGTAGTTCTTGACTTACGGTTCATTTAGTGACTGTTTAAAATTACAAGGGCACTGAAAAAAGTGACTTATGTCCATTGTTCACACTTGTAACTGCTGCAACATCCCCATAGTCACGTGATTTACATTTGGATGCCTGACAACTGGTTCGTATTTATGAAGGTTGTAGTGTCCCAGGGTCATGTGACCATTTTTTTGCGACTTTCTGACAAGCAAAGTCAATGGGGAAGCCAGATTCACTTCACAACTGTGTTACTAATTTAACAACTGCTGTGATTCACTTAACAAGCAGGGCAAGAAAAGTCATAAAATGGGGCAAAACGCACTTAACAAATTTTTCACTCAGCAACATAAATTCTGGGCTTAATTGTGGTCGTAAGTCGAGGACTATCTGCTATTAGTGTGCTACTTTAGAATAGGCATAGGCCCCACATAGCCTTCCAGCAACTTCTTTCACCTGGAAGGTCGCATACACAACACTGGCCTCTAATTTCAGAAGGCTCACCCCAAAAGCTGTGCCAGTTAGAAAGGGAAAATATTAGACTGCAACATATTCCCCAAAACTTAGAATATGCAGAAGGAAAAGAATCATCTTTTACATAATTTTTAAAAACCCGTGGAGTAAAAACAAACCTTCAACAGCCCTAAGTAATTATCATGGGCTTCCTTGCCAAAACTGACAGTGCAACACCCAAAGAAAAGCTGCTACACTGAATTGCACAATATAAGCACAGGAGCAACTATGCTACTGAATTGCACAATATAAGCACAGGAGCAACTATGCTACTGTAGATCAGGCAGGAAGGGGCGCGGCCTAGTTGGGGAGGGGTGCGGCCTAGTTGGGGAGGGGTGCGGCCTGATCCTCCGACGCCCCTGCGGCCTGGCGGCCTGACGCCCTGACGGCCCGGCTTTTCGGCCTGAGGGAAAGATCTGACGGTGAGGGTGCGCGGCCTGGCTTTGGCCTGGAAGATCTGGTGGCCTGGCCATGGCCTGTGAGGCGAGGGACGCGGCCTAGCGGCTTCCTAAATGGATTAATTGACTTCACGAGGACTATGCTTCTCCC